ATAACAGAGAGGTGCAGGATGTGCAAGGCTGGGATTAGTGCAGGCAGTTTTGCACTATTTTTTGAAGTTGGCTGTGCTGTCATCACATCTTTTACTGCATTCAGTGATTGTGTTACAAGTGAGGCCAAGTAGACTTACTCCCTAATGTTAAAAATTTGGGGGTTATCATTCTGATCCCCTTGATGCAAAATACCTTTGGTACAGAAATTGGTAGCATAGACAGTTAGGAATCTGTTTAAAAGACATGCAGAAGGGAAATTTTACTGAGCTTTGAAGGGTAAAATATTATTTGTTTACAGAGGAAAATAAATTCTTTACACTGTAATGAAATACAGGAAACTTCAGCACAAATGCTAGTCACAGTTTTAAAAGAAGTATTAAGTATGTGTGGAAAAGAAATACTGTAAAGGCAAATTAATTTGGAAGGCCTGATGCAGAAAAAAACATTTGGAAGCTTTTGAGTTTGTATTTCCACAGAACAGTGTTTATCTGTGCAGAAGGTAATTTGATACTACAGTGTCTGATAGTTTTGATTACTTTCTTTCTCTTTCAGGTAGGTTTACTAAGAGGAAAGTGGAGTACCAAGATTGATTTGGCTGATTGAATTGCTGGATTTTCTTGATGCCTCAGAGTTTTCTTATTAGAATGGGACTGACAGAGATTGTTACCTAGCATATGACAGAGGTAATATTTACTCACTAGATACTACTTTTAAATATACCAGATACAAACTTGGTGGAAAAGCAGGATTGAGTAGCTGCAGGGGAAAAGTAATGATATTGAAAGTTTTGAGGATAATTTGGACTTGGATTCTTCTATTCCATTTTGCAAGAAGTATACATGTTACAGTAGCATCACTAATGCTAATGCAGAATAGGATCATGCATGCCGTTAAGTACAAGTATCTTTTACATACATCATAGTGTGATTTAGAGACTTGCAATTGTGTGGTATTTGTGGTTAACTTTCTTAGCCTCAGTGAGGGTGAAAGAAGAGAGGAAGGATAAATTTGTGGTTTAAGTATGAAATTGGAAAATAGGAGATCTGTTTCTGATTTGATGACAGATGATTTGTTTTGTGGGAAAATCCTTTTCTGTTCCTTAATTTCTGCTTATGTAAATGGGAGAGTTACAAAAAGTATTGCCTGATTCTGCTGAATAGGGGACTTAATTCATTAATATTTGTAATGTGTTTTAAGACCAGAGGGAGGAAGTTAACATCAAAAAAATTGGACTTGGAAGAAGTTACTCATTTAATGCCTCTCTCAAAAGTTAAATGGCAGTAGATTGCCCTCACAGAAACATGTTTTACTGGTATGATTATGTCCAATTCATAGGTACCTGTAATGATGAAGGTAAATTTATAGTTGTTTCTGGGGGATTTCTGTCATATCTGCCATATTTTATCATCTACCATCTCTACTATTATCTGCCAGCCTGGCATATCTGCCACTTGTATCTTTTCAGCTCTTTTTTTCCTTAATATTGCCTGTCCAGTTGATGCCAGGGAGTATTCCAGAAAGTGTTTTTTTTTTTTCTGTTGTCTTTTTCCCCACACGAATGGTTGTAGCCACAAAATGTATACTATAAACCTGTATTTAGCCCTGCAGCTCAAGTTTTAAATACTAAGACCACTGGATACAGTCTACCGCAAGTGAAGTAAAGTATTACTGTTAAAGAGGAACAGATCCCATGTATACACAAAAGCTTTATTTCACTGGAGAAAACAAGTAAGCTTCATTTCAACAGAACTGGGTGTCCTGTTCTTTTTGTGCTTTTTTTAGTTGATGATACTTTTATCAACAGTTACATATGTTACTCATGATATTGGTTCTTTAATGGAGTTTAGCACTGCTCTGTATTGTTCTTTTGGAAAAATACGAGTACTGTGCCAAGTGGTATGTTGAACTGAGCAGTATGTTGAACACATTCCTGTGTAACTGTACTGTGCCAGGCATCACTCTATCACACTCCCCATCCCAGAAGCAGCACTTGTCATCACAATCTTTATGTTCCTGAGCAGAATTGATAATCCCCACTCTTTAGAGCACTTCTTCACTGCCACCTTCTCACCAAAATTCAGTTTTTTGTGTAGTCAGATGTGCCTTTATCACTTACAGGGCAGGATACAGCAATAGAATATATACCCAGGGCTTTGTGCCCTGGGAAATTCTAGATAATTCGGAACCTAATGGACTCTTCTAGTGACACAGACAACTGCAAGTATTTTAGACGCTTCCTCTGTTCTCAACACAGAATATCTTGACAAGTTTAAGGTCTTGCTTTTCATTGAAGGGTCTCAACACAAGCTAAATATATCATGAGACTGAAAGTCAGAGATGGCTAATGGTATGGCTTCTTTGGCACAAAGTATTATTGAGGGGATGGAGAACAGTAAATAAGCATAGTGGAAAGGGTCACTATGTTTGCATGAAATAAGCAACTTTTCAGGCAAAATTTACTTTCCTACCTGCAATTGCTGCATGCTTTTTGACTTTCATACACAAGGGCACAGCATTTTCAAAATACTATGTCTTCCTCTGTGTTTCTGCTTCACTGTTGCTAATTTCCAGCTAAAAACCTGACTATCGTGTCACACTCAACCTGCTGTCTCACCAGTGTCTTTGAAAAAGTTTTCTTGGATGCTTGTTTTTTCTGCCCATGCTCCACTCCATGCTCTGCTTGGGAGCTGGGTACATGGTAGTCATTCATCCAAGTGCTTGATGCACAGCTGCTAGACTTTTATTACTAATGTCTTGCTGAACATCAGCTCAGCCCATGATGTGGATTCAAAATGTGCCAGGTTTTCATACTGCTTCACAAAACATAAGGCACAAAAGTGCTTCTAGTAATGTTTCCAACAACTTCTCCATCTCCGTCTTCTATGTGTTACCTTGATGCATACCGCCACAACACTGGGGTATGGAAGACAGTTTTATACACATTTAACTTGTCAAGGGATCTGGTTCTTTGCCAGCTTACTCAGTAATCCTTCTAGTGTCCTGAGTATGAGAAACTACCTCATTTAGAAAACACCACTGGCATTGATAAATGTTAAAATAACTGATTTGAGAAATGACTGGATGTTCAATCCCATAGATGAGCATGGAAGTGCAATACATGATCTTTCAATGGCTGGTTAACTGTTTTTTTCAGGCTGAATGTTCCAAAACAAATTGTAAAGGCAGAAGTTTAACCAAGAGCAGACAATCATAATTGGGGTAGGCACCACATCTAACCAGTGCACTAATATTAATGTACAAGAGTGCCAAACAGGCTGCTGAGGAAATCCTAAATACTGAGTGCAGCCTGGAGAGATTAAACAATCTTACTATCATTTATAAGTGTAGATGTTTTAAAGGAGCAGCTTATGCTTTAAAGTTGCTGTGTGCGTAAGTACCACTGTGCAGCTTTGTGAAAGGGATTGATTTTATGACATGTCCTTTTGGACATCAGAGGGAGAGTGTCAGGTTGCCCTAGACCTTAATTCACAGTGATGTTCAAATGTTGCTTTTGGCACCTGTCCTGAACTTGGCTGTGGTATAATTTTTTCCTGCAAGCTGGGGAGATGCAGGCAGGTGCTGTTATCAGAAAGAAACCCCTGTGGTTATCACAAATAGGATTTCTCCCCTTTTGCCCATAAAATCTTGACAGCATTCTGCATGGTCTGTTATCCCACATCACACTCACCAATAGGAAAAAAGTGATTAATCAGTCAGGAGCTGGAAATTGGCTCTGTATTTCAGCAGGAATCTAACCTGAGCCAGGTGCTCTCCTGTCTTTCCCAAATGCCACTTCGTGGTTGTCTTCACCGTTTGGCTATCAGCTTCTCATGTGAATGAAGGGAGTCGGGTTTGGTCCTTGGTGTAAACCTCTGAGGGGGCTTGCTTGTTATCTAAGCATAGGTAACGAGTACCTTGCAGAATCAGCACCTTGTAGCTCTTAACAGTTGTTTTTTCTCTCTATCTGAAAAGTGCTTGGTTGAGGCTGTGGACAGAAAGCTTGGGGAATTCATGGTTCTGAAAAGGTGACAAAAAGAGGGGAAGGAGTATTGAAAGGGTCTTTCTGCTGTAGAAAGTGGTAAAACCACTCTGGGAAAGGCTGTGATTTTTCAAAAGCCTGCTGGCACTATTTGTAGTTCCCTTTGAGTTGTGTTACTTGAATTATCTGTGAAGCATTTTGAAGGTGGAAGATGCTCTGTACAGAACTACCAGCTCAAATCTAAAGCCTGAAGTTGTGTTTGGCATCCAGATGCTCCCTCCCAAAGGCTTTGGCTTTGTGTTACAGCACAACCCAGAAGATCTTTGTTTTCTGCTTCGAAGCTGCAGCTAGACCCTTGTAAGTACAGCTGGTGAGCTTTAGCCTTGATACAGGCACAAATCAAATGCAGTGCTCGTCCGAGTTGTGGCCCCATCTGTCTGTAATCAGAGGGATCTCAAAGCAGTTCTGACACTAAATTGGTGACAGGATGTTATTAGAAGTGTCCCTCAGTAAGTCCTGAGAGCTGTAGTTCATAGAAATAAAACAAAGGTAACTGCTGTATGTTTGCATGTTGAGTACGGATGTGGTTGTCACTATTGGCAGCAGTGTGAGGATTTCGTTACACATTGCGTATAGGTCATGCTTAAACTTGTTGATTCTTTCTTCTGGACAGAGGCTTGGGACACCTTTTGTCACGCATCTGAGAGCTATTAATAGGAGTGTTTGAGCCAGAAAAAACACAACATACACCTTGTCATTATTTCGAAAAGCTTTTTTTCTGGGGGAAGTTCGGTTGGCACAGGAAAGCCACATCTTAATGCTCTTGGCTTTGGTTGTGGACTGCTCGCAGAGAGCAGTGGGTGGCCGCCCTACTTGATGAGAAGTCGCAGCTCGAAGTGCTTATAAGAACAAAGCCCACCCATCTTCGTGTCTTCAGACCGCAGGTCTGCTTCCCCGGCCAGTGTCGGCAGGAGCGGGAGCTCATCCCCACCACCTCCTGCCCCGGCAGCTCACCCGCGCCGCTGGGTGTCCCTCAGCGGGAAGGCGGGAGGCTCGACCGCGGGCGCCTCTGCTGGGGGCGGCCGGTGCTGCCGCTCCCTGTGCGGCGCCTCCTCAGCCCGGCAGCGCGGCGGGCGGGCAGAGGGACGGGAGCTCGCCGCCGCCGTCGCTTCGGAGCTGTGGCAGCGCAGCCGGACCCCACGGCCCGCCTTGAGGGCGGCGGTGGGGAGCGCCTCCGCTACCGGCCATGGAGCTCTCTCTGCGGCTGCTCCTGGCATCCTGCCTCTCCCTGGGGGTGGCTGGCGAGTTTGACAGGAGGTAGGCGCCGGCTTCCGCGGGCGCTGCTCGGGGCTGGACGCGCGCTTGGTGCTGCTTCGGGCAGGTTGGAGTCCTGCGGGGCGAGCGGAGGGAGCCCGGGATCACCCCCCGACGGGGCGAGGGGCGCCGTCGGTAGTAACGGCACGCGGGCTCCTGACCGCCGGGGAGTGAAATGGCGGCGGGGGGCTCGTTACAGGTCCCGGGACCCCAGTCCCCCCTCCCGGCCCAGGAGCGGTGCCCGCGGCCGGCTGGCTGAGGGGGCCCAGCCGCACGGCCAAACCGCGACCGGCCGCAGGTGGAGGCGCGGGTCCGGCGGGACCTGGAGCCGCTCCCGGGGCTCCCCGATGGGCTGTTTCGGCCCCGCGCCCTCCGTCCGGTCCTCCCCGCGCGTTACTCGGCAGCTCAAGTACGGGCTGAGGTACGGAGCGTTTATTACTCCGGTGGGGTGGCGTCCTGCAAGGATTAAAACCGAAGTACTTTGCGTGCTGTGAAAATAAAATCAGTTTATTGACGCCTCGAGGCACTGAAACAGAATACGGTGAAGATCACAACTCAAGTTTTAACATGAAGCGAAGTGAAAATGGATGCTCGGAGAGCGGGTGCCTCATGGGTCGTGCCGAGCGTGTCAGGTGTAGGGAGCGGCTGCGAGGCGGGCCGGGGAGCGAGCGGGAGAACCCCGCATGGTGCTGCGGGGAGCTGGCGCGGCGGTTCTGTGTGCGGACAGATCGGGCAGCGAGATCCCCCCTCAAGGATTCATTCCCTTTGGGCTTCGTTCAAAGGCAGTGGGTTTCAGCTTGTCGTTAAAAAACATTAACGATTTATGTCAATACTTTGTAATTGCTTGGGACCGTGGAGTCTTTTCCTTGGAACAAGGGAAGACTCGGCTCTTCTGTTGTATTTAATTTCTGTTCAACAGTTCAGGAAACTTTTGTTTTGCTTTTTTTTTCCCTTTAATGTTTCAGTGAGAAAAGTTGGTCGTGTGTTACAAAATAAGCCAGTGCTGAAACTTTCTGATGATGGTTTATTCCAGTTTACAAATCCTTTCAGACTTCTGGAATTATTCAATACCAGCCTGGAAGCGGCAGCAGTGAGCACACTGCAGAGCACGTCGGTGATTTCAGGCTTTTTCTCTCTTTTGCCTGTCGTCGTTTACATTTCCTACACTAAACTATTAACAATAGAAATATCATATGCTCAGCTTAAAGCAGTTTCTATTTTTTTTTTTTTTAACTTTTATATGTCTCTATGCAGGAGAGGTTTTTGCTGCTGTTTGTCTTTTGTTTTTTTTTTTTTAATCTAAAATAATTTTAGCTACTTTGAAAATGTTTCACTAGACTGTTTTGAACTGTCTCGCTCAGGTGGCCCAGGCAAATAGTCTCCTCCACAGGACTGTGTCGGTTTGGGAGTAGAATTGACTGCTGCTGGGGCTGGGCCCGGTTGTCCTGGGGACAATGCCAACGTGAGTATCACTGCTGCTGGGGCTTTTAGTCACTTGTAGAGAAGGCTTGTACACATCCCATCACCTCTTTCACGTGTTCACAGACATCCTTGCAACACAGGGCTTAGGCTTTTCACGTCTGAGCCTGACTGACTTAGAAGGATGTTGTCATGTTAAAATTCTGTCTATGATTAACAGCAGTACTGAAAATCATTGTGTTTGAGTAAGGTAAACTTTAGCTGGGGCAATGAGAATTTGGGGATTTCTGTTTGGTTTCCGCTTCATTTTGTGCTCTGGTCTAGTAGCCTGACGTAACACTACACTGTGTCATGTTACAAGCACTGCAGGGCAAGAATATTTGTGTCCAAGAAGGAAACCAAGCTGTTGATATTTCACTGAGAAAGTCCATGGAAATGTTTCAGTTAGTATTAAGTTCAAGCATTCTTTCAGTAACCCTAAATTAAGGGAATAAATCCAACTGACAGCATCCTTTTACTGGGTCACACGTGAAGAGAAACATCTCTGAGATTCTCACATCTGTCTAGAACCCTTGATATGATTGCAGCATAACTAAGGAGATAAGTCTTCATCATTAACTATATCTTCAAAAGGTATTCTGTGGTGGCAGCTAGCACTGTGTGGAACTTAAAGTTGTTAGGAGTGTCATAGAGAGCTCAGCTTGTTAAAATTATAGCCTTTGATATGGAACACTTGCTCATGTGTTTAACAGTGCACATATGAGTGATATCCCCTAAATTTTTGCAGGAGTGAACCTATAAATACTATTCTTTTTTATTTTATTGAGATGCAAATGTCTGAAAAGTAGATAATTTTCTGACAAGTTGTTTTTTAAATAAACCAGGTATTAAATACTGTCATTGCTTAATCTGCAGGGCAGTGACTGCAGGTGCCAAATATTAGGCAAAAGATAGAAATAGCATTGGCAATTCAACTGTGGACTCTCAGCAAAGGTTTTGTTCAAATCTGTAAACAGCAAGACTGGCTTTTTTCTTCCCAAGTGTGTTAAAAGCCTACAATGTTTAATAGGTATATAAGATGACTGCTAAAAAAAGCTATGTAAATAAAGTACTTTTGGAACATAACATACCTGATACTGTTTTTTGATGCAGAGTTCTCAGGTTGGTATCTCTCAGGCCATACCATGAATCACTTTGATTTTTAGGGCTCTGATTGGTACCAAGTAGTTGGTTCCTTGGGCTGAATGATTATAGAGAAAGAAGGAGAATGTGAAGTAGGTTTATTGAGGCTGCTCCAGAGCTGATAGCATATATGTCCATCTTTTGTAATGCAGTTTTATTTGAAAATCATTGAGCATTTAAATGTTTGAGGCTACAAAAGCTTAATTGGCAAGTATAAAAAATTCACATTGTTTAAAAACAAGACCAAACCCCCAAAACATTAAAAGAGTCTCCCTGTGGCCCTTTTGTTACACAAGTCATTGCCTGTGTTGTGACCATAAATTGCAGCTGGAAGTCAATTTCTCGCTATTACCAAGTCTGATTTGAGGTTGCATTTTTTATGATCTTGGGAGACAGCAACAGCAAAAGTGATGCAAGCAAAAGATTCATAATTAAAAGTTGAAAACAAGACAAGTAATACTACACAAAAAGTATATTTTATTCTTTGAATTTTGTCAATGGGGTCATTTCTAGTGCAAACTTTTTTAGGTATCATAAATGCTCTTTTTATTTTTTAAGGTTAAAGCTGGGTGAATTCTCACCTCCTTCCACTGCATTTTAGTCCATTATTCACAGATTTGCTTTCTATGCACATTTCGAAGAATTGCAGAGACGGATTTTACATGGTCATCTCCAGTAGCTAAGACCAGACTTTCAAAAGAATATGGTTATCACTTAGGTGTCTGAATGCATTTTTTTCCTATCTTTTTTTTCCCATAATGGGTGCTGATCATTTTTGAATCACTAGCTCAGAAGAGTCTCAGATATTTGGGCAAAGACTTTATCAAAAACTTAGAAGCTCCTTCTAGTTTTCAGATGGCAGCCAAACTTGTCAAAATAAAGCAAGAAAATCTTCCCCAGTTGTGGGTGGTGAGAATTCCAGTCATATCACAGAGCGGGAGATTACACTAAATGAAAGTGAATCTCTTTAGTGCTTGAAATGAATCTTTCTAGTGCTTGCAGCCAAACAGAAAACCTGTAGTCAACCCTCCACCTTGGGAATGTGGCATTCAGTATAAAAGATTAACCTGGCACAGAACACAGCATTCCTGGCCTCAAAGGAAAACTCGAGTGCTTTTACAAAGGGCCAAGTACACAATTAGTTCTCCCATTTTCTCTATGGAGAAAGGCATACCTCCTAGTCCTGTCCCTGAATTGGTGACATAAATACATGTCAGACTTTCTTTACTAAATGTATCTTTTCTTTGCCATTTCTAGAGTAAACTGTACTTGCACAATGCAAACGTATAAAGTCAGGTCTAAATGTTAGTGATGAGACTCAGTTTACAAGTGAGTCTAAAAGAGAAGCTGTAAATACTCAAGCAATAATGCTGAGCTCTTCATTAGTAAGCTTGAACTGCTTTTCTCAAACTAGTTTGAGCCATCCTTGGTATGCCTCCAAGTGCTACAGCACCTTTGGACTCTCACCTGCTTACTCAAGCATAATTTACTATGTAGGCGCTAATTACCTCTGAATTTATCTTTCTGACAACAAATGTAAGGTAAGAGCCATCCTGGAGCCAGAGTGTAGCAAGAACACAGGCTCTGGTACGTGATAGGGTTGTCCCAGTTTAGAACCACAATGAGCCATGGGGTGGTGATTGTTAACATACCTGAATACAGACTCTGCTGTCCAGCTGAGCTGCTCCACTAAACATGTGTGGGCATGCCTTCTGCCCACCTTTATTGAGAAAAAGGTGTGTTAGTTTAAACCAACTGTGAGATTTAAGGTAAAATGTGACAGACGTTTAAGCCTGTATATGTCAGCTCTTCACAGGGTAGCAGTGTGGCACAGCTGACGTGGTAACTCATTAAACATTGGTAACTCATTGCTCCTCATCCTCCATCCATAATCCATCCATACAGTTGCAAATGGAAAATGAACCGTGTTATCTAAACTTGCTTTTGTGAAATGTGGAGCAATTCCTTCTGTGTCAGTTTGACTGACAAAGGAGTGCACATAGACCATAATCATGCTTACTGCTGCTTGGTAACGCAAGTCAGCATAACTCAGCTATCTTTTCACTCTTGTAAACATGTAGGAAGAAGTTGAGATCAGGCTTCTCCTTTAATTTATGCTCTTCCTTTAAAACATTCTCTGTCTCCTGTTGATAAATTACACCAAGACCTGTACATGTACGGAAGTGCATATAGGTCTGATCTGTCTGTAAACTGTCAGCGTCAGCTGTAACATCTCAGCTAGTACAAATATTCTCTGTTCTGCGAGATGAAATTGACTTCCCAAATGCCCTTTCCAGTTCCAGCAAATGCACTTAGGTGTCCTTCCAACTGAAATAATCAAGAACTTTGAAGGAGGTTGGATGAGGTGTTTTTTTTTCTTCTTTATTTCTTGCATGTTATGAACACTAAAGTGGGATCCAAGTTTTAGACAACTAGATCCAGTTTGATTTAAAAATAGGCATATTCTCAAAGGGGCTGAACAAACCTAACTCAAATTCATTGGCATTTCTTAGTCCCTGTAAATTGAAAATCCATCCACACTTATTTAATGGCCTAATCTAGATTTAGAACTGTGGATATATCTCATCACTAATGTAACAAAGTAGCTTTTCTGAGGTTTTGATCTGGTGTGTAAACCAGGTTTATTGGTTAAACCCTGAGTGTAAAAAGTGTAATTTGGAAGCAGCAGAAATGTTAATAGCAACAACTCTTAGTTTATGTAAAGTACCCTGCTCATCAGTAGAGATGATCCTTTACATTGGTGGACTCACAGTATCAGTCCTTTAAAGTTAGATATTCAATATCCCAGTTGAAATCAGTCCAAAATCCCATGTTGTAGTCCAGATTCTGGGATTTACTTGCACCTTAATAAGTGGTAGTGGGAATAATACGTGTGGGTGAGAGTAATCACACAACAGCCTGCTTCTGTGAAAAATGTTATGTTGATAAAGTAGAGACATATGTAAAAATAGGGCTGTTGACTTCTGTTTTTTATGTGCTATTGTTGTGCACACAGCAAGACTATAGCCCAGAGCAGAAGTGAGGGTAGAAAATTTCTTCTGGATTTCTTCTTTCTGAGTAGGGGGTTTTGACTTCTTGTGACAGAATGTTTTTTGGTAAGAGCAGAATATCAACGGTACAATTTTAATTCATAATTCCTTTTGCATTGTAAGGCAACTGCATCTGCGTACTGCGTAACCCATTACCCAGTCAATGGATTTTAAAGCATACAGGGAAACCCAAATTGGGGCCCGCATCATTGCACACATCTTGCATAAATACACATTTCTGTGTGCCAGCAGAAAAAAAAAAATTGCCTTAGGGAGTGCATTCAACCATTTTTATCTTTTTTTTTTTTCTTTAAATATGTTATTCAGCATTAATTGTCGTGATTTGACATATCTGCACTTCCTGCAGTGGTAGGGCTGGATGAGAAATGTCAACTGCAGAACAGAAAACAGTTGTGTCCATTCCTGTGTTCTAGCTACCGTAGTCTAGGAGACCTGCTGAAGCCTGTCATGTCCTCCCCCCTAATGAGATGTCTGTGACAGCATTCCACTGTCAGGGATGGCTGTTTTCTGGAGTGTTTCTCAAGGAAAGGATAATCTGGGCCTTGCTGTCCAAGTGTCTCTGCTTGGTCAGAGGTGTGCCAAGCAGTAGGGAAGTCCTTGGGACCACTGCTGACCTACCCTCACTGGTAATCCAGTGTACAGAAATGAGCTGTGAATATATACCCACATAGTGAGCTCTGGAACTTTGTTAGCCTATCAGAACACTCACAAAAGGGGTAAGAGATACACCCATTTCATGCAGAGATTTATGTGAGAAGTAGTGTGATGCTTTTCATTCTTCAGCATGAAAGTGGAAGTCCTTCCTTTAGTTTCCAACAGACCATGCTAGGGGTTATCTGAAAAATGGGGTTTTGTGGACATTTTTCTGCTAATCCATCTTGGTTTCCTGAAAGGTGTTCTTAGAACTAATGGTCCACCTGTCTTGCTTTTAGCTGGCTTACAAATATCTCTGTAGTTCTCTCAAAAACTATAAAAATGGTTTCCACATGTGTTTGTCTTTCATATACGAAATACACCTGCTTTGCACTTGGCTGCATGTCTGTTTGTAATTGATTTGTATGCTAGTTATATGTTGTCAAGGTACAAAGATGTAGGGTGCCTTTTGCTTCAAAATTTTAGCTGCAGTTTAACTGCCAAGAACTGTAGAAAGAGATAGTAGTTTAATGTAGATTTAAAAGGTCAAGCAAAATTTTTTGCAGAAAAGCAATATAAACCATCTTGAATTCTCATTCTGTGTTACAGTTTGGACAACTCCTTTGCTAGAGGTGGTGACAAAAAGGGTTCCTTTTGCTGTTTTCGTGTATGTACAAAATACAAGGTTGGATCTGCAGCGGTTTTAAACGAATGCAGGTCTACTGTCAGATCCTAGAAAGTTCAACCAACAGAAGATGCTTAATGGGAATGAAATCCCACTGAACATGGATTTTACAAGTAGTGATGTTACTTGATTACTTCACTCATTTCAATATTGAATTCTCATTAAACAATAGCAAAGTCAATAAAGTCTGTCTTGAGAGGGAATTGTGAAGATGAGTGTGCTCTTATCAGAGCATACATCTGTTGTAACTCAATCTGGTTATCCCCCTGTACTGAAGTTTGACCTAGGGGAGCCAAACCAGAGTAGGTCAGCTAAGTAGTTTCCTGGCAGTTTAAACGATGACAATTGGTTTAAAAGCCCAAGGATAGAGCATTCAAGAAGGTATACAGTAAAATAGCCTATTAGTAAAAGTGGAAATCAAGCCATCAGTTTACACCTCCTCTTGGCAGTGCATCATTAAAAAGTGTAAATTGAAAGGTGTCAGGTTAACATTTAGATTTAGGTGAACCTAGTGGGAAGCACGTGATTTCAGGAAGTTTGTAATAGGACTTACAAGAGGGACAGGGGAGCTTGTACAAGCTGATAAAGCAAATGCAGGCATAACCAAATGCTTTGCTGGGAACTGTGCATGCTGCTGCCTTCTTACAACACTTGTGAAGAAACTTACAGTGTCTATGCTGCTGCTCCTCTCCTAGTGAGCTTAAAGACTATATATCTGTACTGTGCAGAGCTGTTTACAGAGATGCAAGGTGGTGGGAGGAAGAGGTGGCTGTGCTCTCACTGATGCCTAGGAAAAGATTTTGGCCAATGTTGATGGGAGTTTACCCATATAAATCATCCCATACATCAATGGGAGGAGAGGCCATGAGCTGCTTAGGACTTCTGTTTCTTGCACATAACAATGCTTTCAGTGGAAATGGCAATTCTGTATAGTCCAAGATGCACAAAGATAAACCATTATTTTGTCAATAAGGAGCCATGAAAACACTGGCTGTCACAAAAAACAGGAGGCTGGCTCAGTAGCAGAAACCTCCTTAAAGTCAGTAAGATTTTGTTACCGAATAAGTTTTTGTTACTGAATTTGTGGTTTAAGAATGCAGTCTGTATTAATGCATCGTGTTGCCAGTGTTAATTAATATTGATATACCGCATGTCTGCTTCTTTATAAAATGACCAATATTTTTGTGCATCACTGGTACTTTTCAAAGAAAAGATATTTTATACAAAATTGCAATACTGCTATGCAAGAAAATGAGGTTTTGCTATTTTTATTCAGTTTTTCTTTGTTTTCTTTCTTTTTTTTTCAGTTTACAGCTTTATGCTTTTAAAGCAGTTATGACTTTACTACGTTAAAGATACAGTATCCTTTTTCACTTCCCTACTGCATCTCTCCTGCACTGCATACGTAGAATAATACAGTCCATTTTTTTCCAAAGAAATCTCAGCCGTAACATGATTTGACTGTTCCCAGCTGTAGTGTATTTGTATTTGATGCTTCTCTCAAAGCCCTGCAACAACCTGGGAAGCCTCTCTCCCCTATAGCAAATGCTAATGTACTTCTGGTTAAAACTTATTTAAACCAATATAAGTTTCAAGCATAGCAAACTGCTAAGTGTTGGTTACATACTACTTAAATTACAAAGAGATACTGTTGCTTAAGTTCCAGTCTTTTATAATAAGGCTGTATAGCGTAATGAGCTATGCTGCTAACATTAATTTTATTGGCATATAAATTGATTAAAAATAAGCCCAAAACATAAATCCATGTTTCAATCTTATTTAACTTTTGTAGCGTATCCAGTTTCATATGGTAATAAGAGCTGAAGAGGTCTCTAAGCATTAGTTATAATTTAGGTGACTTTCACAATTTAAACATTATAAAAATGGCCAGTAAATTTATATGCCAGCATGTTTATTGGTTGCAGATGTTCAGACACTTATAAATGGGTGTAATTTTAATTACTCTCAAGTTAGCATCCAGATGCTAACCCTTTATGTTTGCTGTGTGGAGATGCAGCATTAATATATACCTGTATTTACATGAAAGGATACTGTCTCTTTAAGAAAAGCATTTGTGTTTGGTTGATGGAAACATTGAACCTAAGCCATGAAACATGAGAATTTTTACAACTATGTACCAAATGAAACATGACAAAGTGTAACTCCATAGTTGACTGAATAAGAATAGCATCACGTCATTATGTTTAATTTCTCTTCTGTATCAGAATGTGTTTGTTAAATCTCACGATGAAATACTGATGTAAGGTATTTCCATTTTTAAATGTGTATCAGAATTTTCTTTATTTCAGAAAAGCTCTGAATGTTGAATGTGTGTAAGTCTCCAGGAATGTAACAAGTTGATAAAAACCCCAGCCAAGTCCATCCTCCTTCCAGAATAATAATAAAAAAAAAAAAAGTTGGAATTTCTTTTTTTGGATATTTGTTTTGCAGCGTTCTACGTCTTAAGGCAGAGAATAGCCAGCCTAAGGTGCCAGCCCAAAGGTTAGCTGAACATATTTCTTCAAATAATTTTGGCAAGATTGTGACTTGGAGTTATGGCCTCTAAGTCGTAAGTTTACATGAGAACTATAATATGTGACAAGAAGATGTAGATGTTCTTTTGTTCTTTCTCTTTTTTTTTTCTTCCTTTTTTAAACATTTGATTGGGGAATATGAGATGGGGGAAGGAAATCAACAGGACTGTTTTATCCCAGTCACCTATCCAGTTAGATACTTTCTAATTTGCACTTTCCCCTTTTCACTCACTTCCTTTTTTCTTTATTTTACCATCAAGTCCCAGGCAATATTTTTTCCTTCCTGAAAACTGTTTATACTCCCATCATCATATTTACAACCTGTCACACTTAGGGGACCCAATATGCTTTCATAGTATTGGATCATATGCAGTGGGAGGCCAGTTTGAGATGACTGAAGCACTTATTGCCCCCCACTGTCTTTTTTGCACCTCCACTGCAGGCTGTCATTTCCACAACAGGGAAACTTTACAGCCCCTGCTCTACAGCAGTGTACCAACTGGCATGTTAAAGCAAAATGAAATCAGCACTAGCTTACATTGGTACCCAGGGCTGTGGTTTGCTGCTGCTTAGGAATTGTCTTATGTCTTGTTTACATACCCCTGTGGTGGGAGTACCAGTCTTCAGAAAGGGAGCAAAGCAATCAGCTGTTCAACTGTCCCTGAAAGTCAGCTTTGTTATTATGATATGGAAGTTACTCTGCTGAAGCCAGTGGGTGTTATATTCTAATAAGCAAAAGAGCAGTAGTGCCCAGTTTGTCTTCTACTACCACACAGAGACATTCATGCCAGGCTGCTTCTACCTGTTGGAATTCAGTAGACACACAGAAAGACGTGGGTAACAAACATGCATTTGAGATGATAGAGTACCATTCTTTAAGCAAATATCATGAAGCATTTGAAATGCAAACATTAAAAGGTTGGCGAAGCATGAAATACTACTTGCTTTTCTAATTTTGCATTCTGTTAGATCGAATTTTCACTGATTTTTTAAAGAGTATTTAAGTGCATAAGCGTAAGATTAACTTTCACTGGCTTCATTAAGACCTATTGATTTCAGTGTTACCCATGCTTAAGTTATGCATGCTTTCAAGTGCTGTTCTGAATAGCAAGGCATTCATGAACCATGGTCTGTGCAGTTTAGAAACACATTTGGCAGCAGTCATAGACAAGCAAAGAATTCACTGCACTGAATAGCCCACACTGACTGCAGTTTGTCCTGTTAAAGTGCTGTTACCAGAATCGTGTGCAAACTGAGTTAACTGATTTACCCAGTCAAAGTTATGCATGAAAAACTGAGAGCCACTTATTTAACAGATCTGTACCTTTTAGATGGAAGCTCAGGCATGCATTTTAACAACATTTGTTATCATGAATGTTACAAATAAGTAGAAGTAATTTATGAAGAAATATACAGGCAATAGATACTGCCATTTTATCTGATTACAGAAGTTGGTTAAGGACATTTACTGTCTTTCAGAAAATGGAGTAAAGAATGTTTTGCATATGAAATTATCTGAAAATTAATACTCTGTTGCCCTAGTCAGGCTTATGAAGCTCTACAGAGATGTGTGCTGTGACTGCTGGTATGTTTATTTGGGAAGCAAAGTTATTTTTTTCAAAAGTAATTCTTTAACGTGTGTTATGGGTATGACATGGTTTTACCACCTACCGATAACTGTGGTAGGTTAAGCTTCATGCATTCTCCTGTGTTTGTATGTAGTTGAACAAAAAGAAATATGTAACTTTGAAAGAGCTGCAATGATTTATTTTACAGATTAGCTCATACCTTTGGGATTGTAGATCAAAATCACTGTGAATAAGGCAGATTTACTTTCCTGAGTATGTTTATGCAATTGCATAATTTGCAAAGAATGGCAAAAAGTAAATAGAGACAGATATGAGCTGAAGGGAGCTGTGGAATAGAAGTACAGAACTGGAGGCTGTGGTCTGTCAGCACCACAGGAAAAAGGAACTCAGTTTCAGGTGAAAGAGGAAGCGCAGAGGAAAGCTTGTTTCACCAACATGCAAGTCTTGTTATAAAGTTGGCACTGGGGGAATGTAAGTAGTGAGTTTAAGATTGGAAGTCTGTTCTGCATTCAGCAGTGTAAGAGGATCCAGTAAATGTTTGTGAAGCTGAATAGTATGTAATCATCTCTGAGCTAACGCATAAATTACTTTCTGTGTTTGGGCAAACTGAATTTTAAAGAGCTGGGATTTAGTGTCGGAATAAGTAAGGGGCTATATGTTACTTGGGAAGAGAGGGCAGAAGCAAGGCCATTCAGGCAGAGGGTCAGCATAGTTTGTTTAAAATACAGGTACTCTTATGCATATTTTTAGACTTCAGCGGGGTGAAAATGGAAGTTCAGAGGCAGGTTGGACATCTGCACTCTGGAATTTTGAGGCAGTTTTGAGCAGAGAGATGCAGAAAAAGCAATTAGACTTTGAGGAAAGCTTCTGTTAATGAAGCCCTCTTGAGGGCATTGTGCAAGAGAGAAAATGCAAGGAATAAGAAATAAGCAATTGTAATGGAACTGTGTGCAGGGAGAAAATACAAGTGAAATTTAAAAACTCAGCATTATAGACCCAAAATGAATTGATTGAATGTGTTTTTCATTTGTTGTATTTGTGCAGCAATTAAAAACTAATAATTCAGAAAGGTTGAGTCATTCTCAGACACCACCAGCAGCTAGTAGGGGCTAGGAAGACTGGTGGCTTCTGGCTTTTACACAAGCATAATGTGTGCTAACAGCCAACATGTGTTTCACCAGAAGTTATTTCTTCCTCTCTCCCACACTTGAAAAAAAATACCAAAAACCCAACCCTAAACCAAACTGCCCATTCATGTTTCAATTCCTTGTGTATTTTTTACAGGAAATTTAGTTTGTCCTGAAGCTTAAGTGAGACTTAAAATGGGGTATTCATCTTATTTTGGAGGAAAAAGTCAACCTTAAAAAAAAAGAACTCTGTTAGAGTTATGGTCAAATAAAGGCTTTAGGATACCTGCTTGATTCCATTGAAGTTGGTGGGAACTGAGAGAGAGCAAGTCTTCATATCTGGCTCAAAAAAATAATTGTAAATAATCAAACTGAAATGCGTAATTATGAGACCAGAGTTTATTTGCTGATGTTTCTTGAATGAATTGGGCAACAAAACTAAGCGGAAAGTTTAGTTGTAGTTTATTCTGTGGCCTAGATGAATAAGCAGCGGTTGACTAAAGATGAAAATAGTTGTGCTTAGGATTTCTTTCTGTTTATCTCAGTCTGCATTACTATCTGATGGGAGTGCCAGTTTAAATGCTTTCAGGGAGAAATCCTTGGAGGAATGGTAGGTCTTTGTTGATACTGATTCAACAATAAATTAGCAATGCAGGTTTAATGGCACTTGTCTATACAAGTGTACTTTTAACTTTTGTTTAAAGCAGTTACTATTATAAAGAGCAGAATGGTTTTGCTTCTTTTTTGGTAAGCTTTTCAGACTCCTATCTTCTAGACTTCATTGTCCTAAGTGTGTAAGAAGGGTACTTTCTCATCCTGGTGTAACTCTCCACTGTCTACATTTCCTGGTTCTTTAAGTGAGTGTTATGTAGCAGACTCAAGTCCATGGATGTGGCTTATTTCAGTCATTGTAAATGCAGGTTGATCACAGGGAAGTGATGTTCCATTGGTTGTTGTGGTTGGTTCTAGGGAAATATTTAAATTGTCAAGATGCAGAGGATATTACTTGGCAGACTTTTTTCCCAACTACTTATGAGTCCAGTTGTGTTAAAGAAATGGATAAACTCCATATGAGCAGAGCAACTAAAATACTGTATCTGGATTTTTGCAACAAAATAAGTGGAAAATTGAAAGAAAAATACCCAGTCACATCAGCACACATAGTGTATGCTGAGACTCATACCAAACAGCTGAAATAACTGCCTGCTATTAAAAGAAATGCTGAAAGTTGGGCTCTAGTTTATTTTTGTACCTGGATCTCATTGTTGACCATGTTCAAACTGAGTCCTTTAAGAGTCAGTGAGTATGTGTATCTCTGGTGCCGTGCAAGGGCAGCCTCCTGTCGAGATGAGGTTACTTGCAGGCAGCAGAGCCTGAGCCAGCCCACCTCGCTGGCCTGGTGGCTCTGGTAGAGGCCAGCGGGAAGGGCGTATCAATGTTCCTGGTGGAGCCACAGCCAGGTGTGCAGACTTGTCTGAATGCTTCTTAAGTCCCAAGAACCCTGCAAAGCCCTGTACAAGTTGATGGGAAGATACACTGTTTGGTGAGGGTGGTTTGGTTCCTGATTAGAAAAGCCTGTGGTGTTGGCAGAGCTACAGATGTTGCTAAGCTTACTGCAGAGTGCTTGTCTCTCCTGTATAGAAATCCTTCAGTTGTAACACTGTATTGCATTTCAGCAGCTGTGTATAAATAAGATGCCTAATGCTTAAGTAGCCAAAGTGCGCAGAATGTACTCTAATAAACAGGATTTCTTCAAGTACGGTGTTTGGCAGCAAGCATAGGTTTCTGAATGCCTGTTTAATGTGCCAAAAAAAAAAGCATTTTGAGATTACTTTGGCTTTATGAATAGTGGTTGCCAATCATTAGGAAATTCTTCCTTGTGGCAGTGGAGATTCTTGAGCTGTAGACTGCTGAAGGGCTGAGATCTTCTTTAATGGAGACTTTTAAACAGAAAAGAGAGATCTGTTATGATTTAAGTGCATTTCTTCATTATCTTTTGAGACTAGGAGGTAAACTAGATGCGGATTTAGCCATCTACGTGTCATACATGACATTAAATATTGCACAGTCTGGAGCTATGTTGAGATGTATTGGACTAGATGATCGGTTGAAGATCCTGTAGAATGCTTGACTTAATAACATGGTCTATAGTACAAATTTTGTATCTGTAGACAGTTGGTATACTGTTTGACAAATGCTAATATGTAGTTTTTGTTCTGATACAGTATCTGACTTACTTGGTTAACCAAAAGAATTAAGCAAAACATCAGATTCCCAGTACAAACCTATTTGACCTTCTGAATTAGAGGAACATTTTCATTTCTAAATGAAATGAAAGTCTTCTTTATTTCATTACTGAATTTTATAGGTTTTTCATCTTCAAGTATGGGATTTTTTTCTCTCCGAGCTGCTGCTAATTTACAATCTGTGCAATTGAGGGAGGGACCAAGATGTTGAAGTCAACTCTAAACTAAAATTGCCACAGGGTCAGCTACTGAATTATAACACTTCACACCAAGTTGATCCCATGGTGCTATGTGTTTTTGGAAAGAGTAGTTATTACCTAACTGTATCCAGCTCCACAATATGTGTTTTCTCTAAAGCGCAGTTGAAATTTCATGGAAGCTTTCAAAAACACATTGCAGTAATTTGTGTTTCTCTGTACTTGAGATCACATCTTTTTCTTTTCCCCCAGTGACTTCAAAGTTGTGAAGTTGGGTCTTCATAGTCTTAATTTTGCTGCCATCAATTCTAATTAGACTTGAGTCTGTGACGTGAGGAAGACATCAGTGATGATGAGCTCTTACACAAAGATCTTGTTTTATTGTTTATAACTGTTGATTAAAAAAAGCAGTAATTGTTTCCAAGTACAATGTTCTAGAAGTTTTTCATGATGTGTCAGTTGCTCTTCAGTCAAATCTGTGTGTTACCCAAGGGGATACTTTTTGAAACATACATTTTACTAGTGTAAGCAGCCCCTTTCCCTAACCCTTAAACTGAGAGGTGTTTCTGAAACTGAATCCTGTTTCTTTACTTCTGGACAGTGTTTATTGGAGAAAAATAAATTTCTTGCATTAACTAGAAACATCCCCCTCTATCTTTTAAGGTGTTCCCTTAAGATAGTTTTCAGAAAAAGACTGCACCATTGTGTTATGAAGATGCATCAAGAGCAGTGCTATAGATTTAAAACAAGGTTTTCTTTCCTCAGGGGATAAACCTGGCCATATATATATATATATATATCTGTAATGTTTAAATAAAGAAATGCCCTGATAATAAAGGGCACATGCAGTCTGAAAACTGGAGCAAACGCCTATGCTAATAGATGCTTCCATGCATGTGTTTGTGGGAACTGCTGATTCTGGATGCTTTGAATTTTATGGAAAAGATTTTAGACCATCAGAGATGTGTTTGCATAGTTCTTCCACAACGAGAACTAATTTCTTCTTTGTGTTTTAATTTTGTTTAATTCAACCCTGTTGAACAACTTGGCTAGAATCCAAGCTACATTTTTGAGTGCCTTCTGGCAGTTTTCTGTTAAATGACATCCTTAATACATCCAGTTATATGATACAGCCTCTTGTCAGGTTAATTAATATTACAGCTGGATCTAGTTAGTTACTTTGCAAATTTCAAATGATACTCTTAGTTTAGAAAATGAACTTAAAGCCAGGGTAAATGGTAAGTCCTGATTACAGGGCATTCAAGTTATGCCACCCTCTGATTTCTGTCTAATTCATGTCCATCTTGCTTAAATAGTAAGCTCACCAGAATTTTGCATCTGTATTTTGTCATCTAGTGATAAAAAACATTCTACAGCACAGTAAATGCTTTCATTTTCCAGTAAGATGAAACAGTACATTTAGCAATAGAAAGATATTTCTAATAAAAAAGACTTGGAAATGTTGTTTAAAATTTTCAGCTCTAAAATAGTTTCCGGAGTTATGCAGGATTCGTTGCACTCTGAAATTATTCCTGTTATCTAATCCTGCATCTATAAATACATTTTTGCATGAATTGTATTAATTTAAAAGCAATGATTGTTTTATCATTGAAGTTTTAAAAGTTTGGTTTGAATTTTTGTGTTCTATTGGAAGAGGTATCAAAAAATGGCTTCCTAATTATTATTTGTTGAAGTTCTGTATTTATGCTCCATTTGGGGAATTAGAAGTTGCCTGGCAAACTTGATTCTGGAAGCAGCAGAGACCATAACTTCACAGTCTGAGACTAGATCTCTACAGCAGGTTGGGTAATAAAGGCTTAAAATGTTCTGAGAAGTGACTTGGATGTGTGCCGTGATAAAGCAGCATATTACAGTCAGTGTTGCTTTCACTTTTACCCAGACCTTTTTGACTCCAAAAGAAAAAAGTCATTCCCATGCCAGAATCCAAACACACAAAAGGGAGAAATTCAGGCAAAACTTGCTTAGTAAGGGGGTAAAGAGTGTTGCCTTGTAGTCATAGAAGAAAACGGTGAATCCTGGAATCTGTGCCACTACTGCCTGTCAGTGACTGAACTATGGCTTTGTTTGTATGTTGCTTGACATTGATATACACATTTTCTATATAGGTGGGGTATATTCCAGGTTTACCAAATTTAATGGCATGAGTCATAGTATATACATACAAGAGAGTGCAAGTGAAGGCACAGTGCCTGCTTGCTGATAAGATATTAAAAGGGTTTAATATCCCAGAAACAGCGCGATGTAGTATTGTACAAAATAGACTACTAGCAAGTATCTTGCTCTTCCCATGTGTATTGGGGTAGTGGTTATTTTTGAAAGAGCACCTGATGTTTGAACAGTGGTATTTAAAGATCATATAATGATGCTGAAGGGAGGAACAGAAATGGTATGATTCGTTAGGTCGTTGCCATTTGTTTCAAACTAAAGCACTGTCAGCCATGACTGGAGTGGACGAATAATGAGTCTTCCTCTGTTCACAGCTATATGCCAGCCAGGATGCAAACATGGTGATTGTGTTGGGCCAAACAAGTGTAAGTGCCACCCGGGGTACACTGGAAAAACCTGCAACCAAGGTAAGAAAATGATGTCCAAGAAAGAGTTTTGAATATGTACTAATTATTTTAACAATATCAACAGGATGCTGTAAAAATTGCTGGAAGCTATGGTCTTGAACTAAACTCTTTGCTTTCCACTAAATGATAAGGAGGGAAAAGAACATGGTGATAAATGATTAAAGGAAGCCTTTTAGGCACTGTTGATCAAATATGCTTGCATGGTAGTGGTGGCAAAGTTGCCCTAGTAGATGTGCATGAAGTTTCTGAGGTGCCTGCTGACTGTGGTGTCCCAAATATACATCAGTTCAGGTGGCTACGGCCTATAGCTCTTATATTATCTAGTGAGACCTTTGAGCTGTGCCTGGGGTCAGGGTATGTGTTCTTGCTGTGTGCCAGTTCCATGTTAGGATGAGACCTGAAAGTGCAGTAATGGATGTAGAATTTGCTTTTTCTGGGGGGAAGTTCAAATTGCACATGGTAAGCATGACCTATGTTGTTATGTTGTACCTATTCTGTTCAGTCCATGGGCCACCTTTCTCATTTCTGTTCTAGAATAATAGTTAGCAATAAGAGAAAGTAATGGTGTTGGCAGAGGAAATGTTGGAGTTTCCCTGCAGACATGTGAGGCTTTCTAAGCTGTGTGAATGGTGCTGGGCTGTGAAGTATGCTCACGTTCTTGGTGAAATGCATTCATAGAGTGCAAGCACTGATGAACAAGCTTTACATCTCATCTGTTCATGGGCCTCATGGATCAAGCTGTATTCCAGGGGTCAATCCAAGAGAAGAACCCAGCCTCAGAGAACTGTTGAGCCCTAATGGTGATGATGCTGCTGTGGCAATCTAGACCTCCCTTTAGGTCACTCAGAAGTTAGCATTTGAGATTTTCATACATACATATATATATATATATATATATATTTTATTGAGGACGGGGTGAGGATTTTTTTGTTTGGTTGTTTTTTTTTCTTTCTTAATGGTGAAATACTGCATATTACAAAGATCTGGTAATTTCATTTTTATTATGCCTTCTTCCCATCCTGTAAAGATGAGCAGCTGTATACAAGTCCACCTGGTCACAGCAGTGAGGCACGTCTGTTCCGCCCCCTGGATCATGATGCAAGAAATATAGGATCAAGGGGTGAGATGGTGCTGTATTTCAGGTGGCGTGCTCCTTCTACCTGCACGGCTTGAGACACTAGTACAATTTCTTGCAAAGGGGTTGGAGGCTAATAAACCGATGGCTGTGATGCAGAAGCTGAACCTGTAGCGTCATTGGCATGCAGAGCAAATAATTGTATTTCCTTGATGCTGTGTGCCTGTGTTCTGCAAAGGCTTGACTCTCCACCATACTCGTGGTTGTAACTTGCTTTTGTTTCTTTCCTCTGCTCTTCTTTCAGGGGCTGTACTTTTTGTTTGTTTTTGAGTTCCTCTGTAAAGAGAGAGTGATGGAGATTGTTTGTCAGGTTAGATAAACACAAAGGTGTGATTTACATAAAGCTGGAAGTTGAAGAAACAAGGTTTGTTAACCTCTGCATTTGGCACCTATTGATTAAGCAGACTAAATGATGTGAACAAAACTCTCTCAGGGTGATACAAGTCTCTCAAAAGTTTGACATGGTAGTGTAATGATAGTCACTGGAAATGAAAGCCATACTGTTTATAGTATGGTGATAACAGTTCAATTTTTTAACTTGGTTTTTTATACCTGTTTTTCTGTTTTCAAAGTCTGAGTGAGTTTCATATTGAACATTTGACTTCTATGTTGTCCAATCCAAGTTAGCTAGGCAGAAAAGATCCGAATGCTGGAGTCTTCTGCAGAAACTAATTAAAGAAGACAGCTGAGTGTATTGCATCTTCCTAAGAATAAGCCCCCCATTGTTAGGTGTGCACTGAAGTCACTCATTATCAGAGATCATGTGTGGTGCCACACAGTACTCAAAGAAGTCGCATCGAAATTTGCCAGCACAGCAGTCTTGTCCTTTCTCTGCATTCACATTTTCATTTAATTTCTTTAAAACTAAAATACTTGTGCTCAGCAGCATGCACTTATGCTGTAGACCTGATTTCCATAGTGCCCACAACAGTCAGGTTACTTTTATGTACTGTCTTATGCTGGTTTTGCATTGACTGTAAACCTGTGGGCAACATGGGAATTTAAGTGGCTGAACGATAAAATTCTCAAATGTGGTACAGTGAGTGGACATTCCTGCAAGGAAATTAAATGATTTGGTTAAACTTCTACTAGTGCTGGGCCTTATATTTTAATTTCCAGTGTGAAGATAAGGGACTTAAAAGTTGTATTTTATTTAAGAGAAAAATGATGTAAAAATGTTATTACCCTTTGAGTGTATACATTTTAGATTTCAGGGTTTTTTTGAGGCAACTTCTGCTCTTTTCTTATTTCCTCTTTTGGCAGACAGACATTTATACTGAGGTGTCTTTATAGACATTGCTTGAAATACCTAATTGATAAGTGAACAGAGTGTTCAAGAGGTATGTTGCTACGGCTCATTTTTTTGACGGCTAACATTAGCCTGAACCTGTTCTTGAAAAAACAGACCTTACTTAAGGAATGGGAAACACACAAACTAATAGAGTACATACATAGCAGGAATGTTTCAGCACTCCCCCAGTCCACATGCAGTGCATCCTGATTCTTAGGGAAGCACGCTGTTAAAGATTATGGGTGCATGGGGGTGGATCAAGAGAGCTGTCAGCATTTTCATACAGGCCTTTACATAGAACTGGTAGGACCTAATCATACAATGTGCCTCCTAGGAAACTGAGTGATACTTGTCATGCAGTTTCAAGTATGTACCTATCTGTGCTGGTGAAAAGAAGAAAAATTGCATTTTGGGGAAAATAAGATGGGCTGAGCAGTATGCTCTTAACACACCTATTTGCAGTCTGGCTTCTCTTTTAAGCAGCCACAGCACTGCCAGTATTTGTTTTCCTAAACAGTAGCATTCATTTCACTCTGTAAGGTTAAAACCAGCATTCTCTCAATAGCTCATTTCAAAGGCAAAATTGAAAACCCATGACCCACGAGGTTTAGGTTTAAGTGGTGTTGTGCTAACAGCCTATTTCTGCTGCCTTGCGACCTCAGCTTTCCATTACCTCAGCCAAGGTTAAAACTTTTTGACTTTTTCATGGCACAGGCATTGTATTTTCAGCATGTTTTTGAAGATGTGAATCGGAGTCAAAAGCTGAGGTAACGGCATTTGTTCGCAGGCAGAAATAGAATGGAACGAAGGCAATAGAAATAATTCAGTCAAAATGCTATGAACAGAAAGCATGTGATGAGATATTCTGATACTCTTTAATATCAGGTTATTTTCAGAATATGTTACTAATAGGTGTCTATTTGTCAGTTCCACAGCTTTCATTTCTGTACTAAGAATATTTCATACCAGATGGTGGTGTAGTATCCAGAGTTCTATAGAAAGACCCAATTATTTAAGGCTCATAATGCAATCTATACTATATGCAAGACAGCACATTGAGAACAGTCATAAATTATCAGTGTCAACTTTGGATCTGTGATTGTGGCTCTGGAAATAAGCACAAGACAGTTCTTAAGGGTAAAGTCTTCAGGAGTATCTAAACTTAGGATATAAGCACTAGAAATTAGCCCAGGCACTGTTAAATTCCTGCTCTGTCAGTTTAATTTCAGCATTCCCTTTCCTCACTCTGTCCCTGCTTTTAGTTAAGTATTTTATACTTAGCTCTGTTACACATTTAGTTTGTAAAGTATCACTTGGTGAGAAAGTGCTTAACAGTGGAGATGGCTCTCTGGAAAATTCCTGGAAGTAACAGAGACTCCCTTACTGTAACAGACCTCCAGACAGCATTGTGCAATATTGGAGATGAGGGGTGGTAAAGCAGTCGTTTAAGTACTTGCTGGCTGGATTTATGAGCAGATTTATTATTTTCACCTCTTTTGGCATCTTTACTCATCAGCACACAAATAACAGCATACAAGTAACAAATTATTCTGGTTTATTTAGAGAAACCCAACATGTATTCTTGGAAGAGAATTCTGAAGGAAATCCTCACTCAATCTTTACTTCTTGTTAGAAGCCTTGTCTACTAATATGAAAGTTGTAGGCTGAATATTTTCAATTAAGTTGTGAACTCTGTATTAAATTGTAATAGCCTTCATGGATACTCCTTGACAAATATCATTGATACCAGGTGGATTTTTTTCAGTATCTTCTTGATGGTAAGGAATAAATTTTCGCTGTAAGATCATTTAAAGTAGGTTAGCATCAGCTTTCCTACCTTCCTCTGCGACTAATTTTGAAACATGATAGAGAATCACTGAAGCACTATCAGAGTCACTGATAGTGATTGCGGCAGTGACATTTGCTTTCTCCTTCCTCTTTTTCACAGTTCTGTCTGGTCCTGAACATGGCATCAATGTAAATAGTGGCAAGATGCTGGCAGCCTGAGCTTGCGCGTTCCTTAATGACACTTCTGTTGGTGTTTAATCTAATGCATATGCTGCCATTTTTTAAAGGGTATCTGTGAAATAGAAAATACACTACTTAGCAGGAGGGCTGCAAAGTGCTTCTTGCAGGATGTTCTGGACACTTACTACCAGCTGGACTGCATATAAAAAGCTCATTGCCATGTTTTTAATTCTTTCCTCAGGAATTTGAACTAGTAGTTTTGTCACACATACTTTGTATGTTTTCTTTTCCCACCCTTCCCCTTGTACCCTTCATTTTAGATCTAAATGAGTGTGGACTAAAGCCACGGCCGTGCAAACACCGGTGTATGAATACCTACGGCAGCTACAAGTGCTACTGTCTGAACGGCTACATGCTTATGCCAGATGGAACGTGCTCGAGTACGGCAAGGCTTGTTGCTTGCTTTTTTCCGAGCTCCTCAAGACCCCTGCTTGAGTTTCCCTGGGAAACTTTTATGAAATGAAGATGAGTAAAAGACTAATCTTGCTGGAAATTAGGTGGTTGCACAAGATGAACCTCTTTTTTTTTTCTAATGAAATTAGGCTGAACAAAACAAGAGCAAATATTTTGATTTTATTAGTTTTATTACAAGTTTCCCCAGCAGCATTCTTCCGGGTGTAGTATTAGTGCTGTAAATCATGTTAATTGGCCTTCAGGGACAAGTGCTTGCAGTTTTCATTGCGGCAAGACATCTGCAGCTCTGCTGTACTATGCTCTTATGAATGTAAAATCATTAAAGCTGCAGATGTTGGTTGTTTGACTATAATATTATACTATCGTCTCACTGGAGATCAGGTTCCTACTTGCTCCCATGAAAGTGGATATTTTGAGTGTTTGGACAGAGAGAAGGGGAGGGAAATTATTTTTCGGTAGGAATACTCTTATTTTAAAATGGCAGTGTGGTCCAGGAGGCTTAATGTTCCTTATGGGGGATGCATTCCATGAGGAATATGCTACAATTGTGGTGATTTTATTAATTTTATTTCTTCCCCCTAGAGATGCAATTTGTGGGAAGTAGAAATTTACTAAATATGTGTTTGCTCTTTAGAGCCCAAACGGATACCTGTCACATTCAACAAGCATTTTCCCACTTCTGTCATAATTAAACGATGTCTTAATTCTCCAGAGTTTTCCGTCATTTTCTGGTACTGATCAGAGCCCTTATCTAAATACGTTTTCTCCCAGATGCCCTTTCTTGCTTGATGGCAAACTGTCAGTATGGCTGTGATGTGCTGAAAGGGGAAGTGCGCTGCCGCTGTCCGTCTCCGGGACTACAGCTAGGGCCTGATGGCAGGACTTGCATAGGTAGGTGATCTAATGTAGATCAACTTTCTTTTTTTCTCCAGAATGTTTTTATCCTTACACTGAATGCAGTTCAAGAGAGTTTATCAGATAAATATATTTAGCATGCATCATACATGCAGTTTAAAGATACTATTAATGAGAACTGGGACAGGTATTTTGCTCAGGTGCTCTCAGGTGGTCTGTGTCAGAGATCACCAGTGCTTGCCTACAGTTCTACAAGTTTCACTGACTGCTTAAAACCCACACAGGCTGCTTGGTATCCAAGCTGTCGGCCCTTACCACTCTTATCACTGGGTCATTTTAAACTGTTTCTAACAGAGACTCCAAAATACCAGCCTGCATTAAAAAAAAAAGAGGAATGGGGAGGTCATTTCTCCCTCATAACCAACAGGGTGGTGCCTAGGCTCAGGGAGTGGAGGGATTTGTGTTAATCATTGAGATTATTCTTGGATAAGGTGAAGGTCCATGCACACTCCCAGTATGAATGGGATTGAAGCTGCTGTCTTTCTTCTGTACTGTGAAAACTCCAGATTAAAATAAACTCAGGAATTCAGACTGTCTGAAAGTGAAATGTTTTGTTCCCACGTTCATGAACATGGAAAAGGTGTTTATGATTAATCAGAGTGTATTGCGCCACACTGTACTATGGTCTGAAGAACGGTGTGATGTGATTTAATTAGTCATTAACTATACATCGTTGAGTGAATATGATGCTCCAGTGATTTTATTATTTATATCTTATGCAGTTCTACAGTTCCATAGCCAGTAACAACATTTGGACTGAAAGAATATAAGAGAATGTGAATGCCCTAATCATCTATGTCGATATCATGGCTGTCTATAGGGGAGGTGGTGGTTCGCCAAGTGGCTGATGCATGCTGACCAAGAATTTGTTGGCAGAGCAAGGGACCAGTTCTAGATCTTCTGATGTTTGGCACGTCTGTCTATGCAAAAGAAAGGGATGAACAGGAGAAAAAAACCATCATCGTAACATGCTGAAGGGATAGAATTGTGGTTAATCACTGTAGACATTATGGCAGAGATTTTTGAAGAGGCCATAGCGAGATGAATGATTTAACTACAAACTCAAGGAAATTATATCAAGTACAGGAATTTACCAGAAAAATACTTGCAAGATCCTTTTTCTCATTTTTATATTCAGGCTAACTTCATACTTTGGAATAAAGTGTGCTTTCAGTGCTGAAGACTGGCACTCAAACCAGTTATGTGAAGCTCTTTCATTTCTTCAGTGTAGTTTTTAAAAGAATACTTTTTTTCCCCCAGAAAGGTGAAGAACCAGTGTATCCACATTTAGTTGGGTGTGCATCATTCAGATTGAGCGCATAAACTTGTTTTTAAAAGTTCCAAAAAAAGCTTCAGAGCAGCCTTGTACAAGGCAGAGAAAGTAGTCACAGCAAGAGATGTCTGACTGCTCTTCATGGGTCATAACATGATCTACTCCCCTTTTTTGGTAAGAAGCCACCATGGCATGCACCCTTTTTGTTCTCTCTCAAGTTTGAGTTGGAGTAAATACCACCAGGAATTGAAGCTATCTGGGACTATTAACTGTGCCTTTTCCTCACATGCGTACAAGCCCATCCCTGTTGGGGAGGTTGTCAGCTCCAGCGAGGATCTGGCTATTGCTACAATATAAACAGAAGTGTAGATGATGGTAAAAAACCTGAAGTATGCATTGGCTGCAGCTCATAAAATCCTTGTTTGAGGAGAGTCTGAAAGACAGCTGGGAATTCAATGCTTATTTTTAGCACAGGTGGAAATTCCTCTAGGCATTATTCTATTCTTAGTTTAACCCGTGCTGATCTTTCTCTTGTTGACATGTTCCCTCGAGACAATCAGTAAAAAGCCACAAAACAACATAACTATGAAGGTAAGTCATATAAACTAAGTAATTAATTGAAAAATAATCCAGCGAAGTATTGATTTAAGAAAATGGATTAACTGACTAATTGACTCTTGAATCAACAAATCAGTCAGTGTTGCCAGCTGTTTGGATTGGGATTTTCATTTAATGAAATTAAGCAGTTTACACATTTTCAGAAGGTCTGAGATTATTTGAGGACTGAAAATAATTATTTTTACTGTAAAATAAATTCTTACTAGTTGTTTTGTTGGTGTAAAGACAAAAATATGGCTTTAAATTACTATATTAAAATCAATCTCATAGTTGTTTAATATTCGTGTTGGTAATATGGTCATAGTCACAGCAAAAGAGAAGCAAGACCTTGTAATTTGGCTTCTTTGTTGAACACTGACCATCACATCATTAGGTGCTGCCTGTATTATGTGCCTTTGGAATGGTTCCCTGGCTCTAAGTCTGGGCGTGCACGTCTGTGGTAGACCAGGCTGAGATGATGAGAATACAAATCACTCCTTCATGCCCTGGTTTTCTTAGGAAGCAGGTACGAGCCACAGCATGTTGCAGCAGACAAAACAGCCTTATACCATTTGTGTCCAGGTGTGAATTGGCATGGCTCCATTGACTTGAAAGAAGCTACAGTCACTGTATCTGAGAGTATCTGAGTATCTGAGAACTGCAGGAGACCAATTTGTAAACACTTGAATACCATCTTCTAGCTAATTATTGAAAAGTTTTTTTTTCCACTAGTAACGAGCATCCACACACCTCTCATAATAAATGCAAGTGGTAGACTGTTCTGTTTTCCACTATTTTTGTGTCAGTTTTCAACAGTGTATTGGTTAGCTGTTCAGCCTTGTATCTTTAGGATGTGTAACTGCTGAGAAAATTAAACAGTACCGCTAAAGTGCTCTTAGCATCTAACATACCTCTTGCCCTATGGGAATTTGCATAAGCGTGAGTATGTACAGAGGGAAGACAGACAAGCTACATTTGGTTTGAAAGAACATAATCCCTGCCATGATGAGGTCTATTCAGCAGCTAATCTTGTTCTTACTAGATTGTTTTTGAACCTGTGGTTTAAAGAAAACAAAAGCCCCAACAAAGAACCCCAACTAAACAGTAATCACGAGTCTGAAATTTGCAGCCTTGAAGTAACATTTTAATAAAGGGTAGAAAATCGTGGCTTGTAAATCAAATGGCACTGAGAAACATCGTAGGATTTGTACAACTTAATAATGTACTCGAAGACTAAACCGTTAATAATAAATTCAAATCAAGAGGCAGTTTTATAGGGACATTCAGGCATGTGGAGAGATGCCCAGTACTGGCCTTGTTTTCTTTCTCATTCAGGCCTCTACCACAGCATTGCAGAAGTACTCTCTATGGAGAGTAAAGGAGAGCTACTATGTCAAAGCACCCTGCTAGGCCAGGAGCATGGGAGCTCAGGGAATAAATCCTTGCTGTACTCTGTAATTCTTCATGAAAAGTGGGACAGTGCCAGCAGGAGCCACTGGGCGAGCCCATCTAGCCAGTGATTCATGGCTTTAGGTCACTTCCCATGGCTGTGGGAAACACAGCTTTGGAAATTTTGAAGCTACATCTCCCCTGTCTTGAGTAGCTACCCCTAAGCAACTGGCAGGTTTGTGGTAATGTTTTTTTCTCTGCAGCGAAAGAAACTCAGGCTTCTCTCTGCTTTGTTCAGGCCTCTTAAACAAGTAGCAGGGCATCAATCACTCAGCTTTGTTTTGCACTCTTGACACCTGCAGCTGAAGTGCTCCTTTTGGGAAAAGAATTGCATGGAGAAAACCTTGCTTCCGCATAGATCAAGAGCCTGATAGAGCTGCAGAGCAAAAGCTTGAACTGTGCCCTGTAGATAACCAAAGATGTCAGGAATGGCATGCGTCAGAGGCAGCCGTGCATGTCAGGTCTCTGCCTCAGTGAAGAATTAGGATTTAAGCACTCAGCAGGCTTCAGCTCAATGTACAAGCATTACAAAGTGAGTGGTAGCTCAAGCAGCTTTTGTCTATCAGCCTGACCTCATCTGAGAGTTTCCTAGATGGTGAAAGCAGCACTTGGTGAACATCAGCTGTTCCCTGGGCCTCTGCTTGGCTTGTTAGTCAGCATGAAGAGCAGCGGCTTCTGGGAGATGAAGGGCACCAAACTTTTACTGAGCATCACCTGTGTCTTCCCACTCCTCTGTCCTTGCCTGGACGTTGCTTGCTGAAGCACTGCTTCAGGTCCTGCTGGGGCCCACTGACAGGGCAAAGGGGAGCTATGTATCTCAGCACCTCAGAGAGGTATTAAGGTCACTTAGCCAACTTCTCTGTGAGAGAGGGGTCCACTACAGCTCAGGCAGTGTGCAGGGTAAGAGATTGCAAAAAGCATGTACTCAAAAAGCATTTTGCCTGTGGCAGGTAATTGGTAGGAGACTCAGAAATACTGCACCCCTGGCGTTAGCTTGAACTCTCTGTTTAGAGCAAGTCCTGAGCAGATGAAGATTTCCTGATAGGCAGGTCATGGATTAGGGACACCTGAGATTTTAAAAACACGAACAACTTCCTGCTGCAGGGTGATGTACTTTGAATATGCCTGTATGATCTGTGCAACAGGAACAATATTCCAGGCATGTTTCAGAAAATGAATTACTGGGGTAGTTATTATTCCTTGCCTGTAAATCCAGGTGCTGCCTTTATAACTGGGCAGGGCTTGGTGGGACAAAAGAAAGCTATAGAAATAACAAAAAATAGCTTTTCTTCAGACAAATACCATAAAAGTTTCAAGGAAGAGTGTTTAGAGGCTTTGAAGAAGCTTTTGTGCATTCTGTGGGGAATTGGAGAATGTCTCCTCTCCAAGGAGAAGTGTACCAAGATGGCAAGAACATAAGAGCAAGCATTCCAAATTCAGTAGCAATGCTTGTTATACCAGTGTATCTCTTGTCACTCACAGTATTTGTAAAGGCTTGTGGCACTGGAGGCATAAAAATTTGAGCATGTGACCAGGAGCTAAACTGAGATGGCACAGCCAGAGGAATTGGTGAGATATCCCTGCTGGCTGGCCACCGTGTAGCCAAAAAGACCTTATAAAAAATACTTTGCCTATTCTTTACGTTTTTATTATGTAAAACCAGTTTAATTTAGACAGTATAGATTGTATTTTAACTGCTATTAAAAATAATTCAGTTCCTTTCTTTCCACAGATATTGATGAATGTGCTACTGGGAGAGTCATCTGTCCACAATTTAGGCACTGTGTCAATACTTTCGGAAGCTACATTTGCAGGTGTTATAAAGGCTTTGATCTAATGTACATCGGAGGCAAATACCAATGCCATGGTACTCACAACTTATTATGTGCATGTAATAGAGCTGCATATTCTAAACTGAAATAGAATGTTTACTTACTGTGTTTGAAATGTTGAAGCAGGTTGTTTTAGTTTGCATTGCACCTTATTTTAGGAATTGGGTGGATTATAGAAATAGTCCATGAAACAGAAAGCATGTATTTGGCCTGTGTATTCTTGTAACTGGCTCTCCTGTGGAAACTAGTGGGAGAGCAGAGCTGATGACCTCAGGAATTCCTTTCCAAAGGCTTTGTCCCCTCAAGTTTCACTGTGCACAGGCAGTTCTGGGTCTGAAGCAGCGTATGGGCTTAGGCTATGTCTAGGTATGTACACTGTAACATGCCCCAAGATCTAAGATAAGATGAGGTGGCTAGAGCAGACCCCACCTCCTTCCAAACCTGGCTGCCCAACTTTCATTCCCCTGAAGACAGGTGGGGAAGAGGCAGGGGCTAGGAAACAACCTGTCTTTGGACATGAGACTGGAATGCAGTTGGTGTATGACCTTCAACAAAGATGTTCCCAGATCCCATTGTCTTAGTTACCTAGTGCCTCAACTGGTTATGATCCTTTCACTGAAAAAAAGATTGTGTGGAGACAATGAGGCATTGCTTTATGTTTGTTTAAATTTATTTTTTCAAGAGAAATCTCAGTGCAGAGGACTGGAATTTGGGGATTTTGCTTTCATCACCAACAACAAACATGGAAATGCCATATGAGATATTTCCAGCAGTTTCTACTTGATGTAGAAATATCTGCACAGATGTAAAAAAAGAGGAAGCATTTAATGAAAAAACAGTTTGATGCCTGTGTGATTAAGACCATACAAATTCCTATACTCAGTTTTTCTATGTCACCTGTAGAAGTGTTTATTAAAATCATGATCTTCATGATCTCAACTGCAGTCTACCCACATAACTGAAACCGATGCTTAGATATAAGCTGAGCAATGCCAGAGTTTCACAATAGTCCCTTTTACCCTCACATTTGTATAACCACATTGGTTTGTGACTATCTTCCTTTTCCCACTGGCAATTCAGTTTTATTAAACTTCTCAAAATAATACTATATTCCTAATGACCACACTACTGTCTGTGTTTCTGCAGGGGAAGTCAAGTTTCTTTGATGTAGATGATTTTGTATATAACTTTCTGTTGCAGATATAGATGAATGTTCCCTTGGCCTCCATCAGTGTGGTAGTTTTTCACGATGTTACAATATCCCAGGATCCTACAAATGCAAGTGTAAAGAAGGGTACAGAGACAACGGAACAAGCTGCATACGTACGTAATGCTCCTTTGAAAAGAAAGGAATTCTGAGAGTAAATGTGTCCCATGGTGTAATTCTTGAGATACAGCACTATCAGGCTCAGTTTCTCTTAACTATTCTTAATACTTGATAAGGGGCCAGGGAATGTAGTCAGGGTTTTCTGAGTCTTAGCATGCTGTGTTAAAAATACCTTTTCCTGAGACATTTTCATAATTAGAAAGAAATTCACCTCTCCCTGTTCACAGCTGGATTCTAGAGATTGCTTCAAGATGAGAGCAACTGGGTAAGCAGGGTAGGTCTGGTCAAACAGTACGTATTACTCATACTTTGTTGTTAGGTGCACTCTGCAACTGGCCCATTTCAGCTGCTCACCCCATCCACACCTTATTGCTCCCCGGATGTGAGCAGAGCTGAGAGGGAGGATTTCTCTGGACAAATTCCCTGTTGGAAAATTCCCTTCCTCACCTTTCTCTTGGGAGAAGCAACCACCCCTTTTGTACAGCTCCCCCACATTTGATATCCCTCCAGACTGTGCAGCTCTATGATATCTGCTTAATCTTTTTGAGAACCCTGGGTTCATACCAGGGTTTTGGTCTTTGGTGACTCACTGATCTCTTTGAAGAGCAGTACCATTGCGGACTTGTTTCTTTTAGCTATAGCTGTGTTATGGTGATGTGTTCTGGCTAAGGTGATTTTTCCCAACCTCAGTGCTTGCAATTGTATGTGGAGACACTTCACATGTGTTACTGGATGCAGTCTCAAGATGCATTTTATATTTTAATGTACCATAATGTAAAACCTGCAGGGTATTCAAAAGAATGGTAATAAACAGGTGGCCAGAGAGAAAACCTTTTAACCTGCTATCATCAAACAATTAATTGTTCACAAACAGTATTTCATCATTTTAGCTGTGGGTTATACTTGAAACACTTGTACACAAAATACATGACTGGAGTTCTTACTGGGGCTTTTAAGATCTCCGGTGAGGCATAAAGGCTTATAAGCAAATAGAAAATGATAAATAACAAAACAGATGTTCTTGTGTTTCATGTCTGCAGAAACTGCTCTTGTGAAACCAAGTTAAAATTTTTTGTCCTTTCTTTATGAAACGCTGGTGAGATGGTACTTTAGGCATTGTCACTGCTGTGTAGGTTGTATTCAGTTCACCTCTACTTCGTGGAGGTTGAAAAAGTGTCATTTACTTAGTCTCCTGGTGTTTGGCAAATGGAAGGATCTAAATGAAGGCTATTGGGTTAGGTTTAATCTCTGTAAAATGATTAATGCTTACTGACAAGGAGAAAAGTTTAAAAGAGGTGGGGGGATCTGAAAGATAACTTTCTTAAGCCAAACCTATATGCCCATCCATGACTGAAGTAGTTGTAACACTGGAGTCTTACTAAACTTGCCTCTGCTCCTGAGTACAAACTTGTCCAGTTTAGAGGGCTGCCTAAGACACATCTTCCTGTCCATGCGTTTTTACTAACAGTGCTTCTGGGTAAGTTTTGCCAACATTTCCAGAGAGTTGATGCTTGGGAGGAGGTGGGGATGGCTTTCAGCCATTCTAAATCATCCTAAACTGGTGTAATGAGAAGTGCTTTCTAAACAGATGTGATAATTCAGCAGTGCTGATGCCAAAGTATGTTTCTAAGTAGTGGAAACATTCAGAAGAAGAGAAATTATTTCAGCAAAGACACTTGTGTCATAATGAAACATATTGCTAAGTTTCCAAAGCGAGAGACTCAGATGTCCATTTTGGTCCCATTTTGATTCTTTTTGCAGTTATTCCTAATGTTATGATTGAACCACTTGATCCATATCATATAATCAAGGGCAACAGCACGCTCCCTAAGGGAGACAGTGGTATAACCAATAGGATTCCTGATGTTGGAGGCACAAGGCAACCCCTCAGACCACCATATGTACCTGCTGTTGTTACAGAAAGACCAGTGATTAGACCGACTCGACCTACACCCCGGCCAACGACTCGACCTACACCCCGGCCAACGACTCGACCTACACCCCGGCCAACGACTCGACCTACACCTCGGCCAACGACTCGACCTACACCTCGGCCAACGACTCGACCTACACCCCGGCCAACGACTCGACCTACACCTCGGCCAACAACTCGACCTACACCTAGGCCAACGACTCAACTGACAGCAAGGCCAACCACTAGGTATGTGCCAGTGACAACAAGGCCAGTGACAAGGTCTCCACCTCCAACAGCACCTCAACCTCCAACATTAAGACCTACACTACCAGCACAAACAACTCCCTTGATAACAGCTGAAGAGCCTTCACATATTCCCATTGAAACTACATCTTCCCAAGGAATTACAGATGATAACAGGATCCAGGTAGATCCCCAGAAACCCCGAGGAGATGTGTTCAGTAAGTAATTTTACATATCCTTTCATTTATCAGAATTGTAGATGCGGTGAGGTGAAAGCATGCATATACTGTTTTGAGGTTTTTTGGAACACTTTATCAGTGAGAACAAAGACATGAAACTGAAAATGGTCATAAGGTAAAGCTGCACAGATGATTTCATTACCTGCCAAAAATGTGGGGAGAAAGTTCTGAATCAGTTCAACCAAAACTTTCATTTTTCTTTTCTTCCTATGATTATTTGTGAGTATATTGTCTTGTATAAGCAGTTAACCTGATTATGCCTGCAGACACAAGTTTTGGAGAAATTAAAGACGTCACTGAAGAGTATTGAAATGCAACATAACTCATAAATGGTAAATGGATTAAAATTCAGGGATTGGGAGTCACTCTTAACATATTTCCTTATCTTTAAGAATGGTAAGAAGTGACAGCGTATTTGATTATCTAAAGACTGTTGTATCACCTGTAGTGTATAAATTCAAATAGGTTTGAATGTTTATGACTAGGCAATGGGAAAATTGCGTAAAAATAACAGAGGCTAATTTTATAGACCCCAGCTATGAAAACAGAAACATGAAAAGCTGAAGATAGTAAAGCTTTTCATAGCATGAACACATAGCATTTTAAGAGCTTCTCTGAAATCAGCAGCACCATTTCTACACCAGCTTCAGTGCATACCACAGAAGACATTGCTGACATATGCAAGAGCTACACATATCTGCCAAGAAATACTCAACACCCGATTTCTGCCTCTAATTTTAGAGCCAGGGAGGGTGGCTGGATCAGTCCTTCTCCTTCAGCTTGTTGTACAATAAAGCTGCTGAAGTGATGTAGTAGGAGGAAAAGTTTGCTGTCTCAGAGCAGGTGTGCTAGCAATGTGGGAGTGTTTTTCCGGTTGTTTTGGCACCTGTGCAGTAACTTCTTGGGCTATGTTCTTGTAGATTTTTTTGTTCCTTGTGAGAAACAGTTTGTTTTCCCTGTTGACGTTTATCTATTGCAGACAGTTTGGTAAATTTAAAACAGAGACAGAAGCTGACGTAGAATTTGGGAAGATAAATCCTCCTACTACTCATAGGAGTGTGCTTTTGTTTTTTTCAAGGTTATTTGTTAAACAATCTATATTCAGTTAGAAGTATAAAAACGTGTTTATGAAAGATTCTAAAAAGAAACATAGTAAAGACTCCTGAAACTCACCATAATGGGAACCAGTCATTAAAAATACAGAATTATGTGGCAATTATTCTAGACTCTAGTGTTACGCTTCCCAGGTGTCTCACATTGCAAGTGTTATCTTGAATTCTTAATCAGAGGGATAGTTTTAAGCTATTTTCATGGAGTTATAACAATCCCCTGTATAAAGCTTATCATGTACAATTAGTCTTTCTGGATTGTCCCTAGAGGCTAGATTTTAAAGCTAATGCTTTCAGCACATATGCTTCAAATACAGGGGTTTGGGAAGTAGGAAAGTGGAAGTGTTTTAAGTTTGGTTTTTGACTGTAAGTTTACATTATGGTGTATATAACAAACATGGCAAAAAATAATCTTTGCAAAGTGTTTATCAACTATTTAATTAGGTCAGCTGCCACCCTTTGAGGCTGGTGATATACATAGCTTCAAAGGCTTTCGTGCACAATACAGAAGGATTTCATCAGGTCAAGCTCCAGCAACTGTTACTGGCCTCAGTAGGTAATACAGGGACAGACAGCTCCTCAGATCAAGTCAGTAGATACATGTCATTAATCCCATATTATTTTTGCTATTCCCTGCTAAAGATATATATGATACAAACATGTGTGTGACATAACTGTGTGACTAAAGGCATACTCCACTTGTGCTCTAGATTATAGGAGTTTGCATGATGCTAGTAATGTGATCCTTAATGAAGCTGATGCCTTTCCTCCTCTCCCTTTTATCTCTTATTCTCTTCTTTCTGCTCTTTTTCCCCCTCTTTTAACTTCTGGCCACTTTGAAAGTATCATCTAGGTAGTCACTTAGTCCCCTCCCACTTTCTTGCTGGCATTTATATAGTGAGTGCATAAAATCCTTTGTTTAGGATGTGAAACCTACAGCTGGTTGCAAACCAGTTCTGTTCCAGAAGAATGTGCTACCATGTCAAGGAAAGCATTGCTTGTAGAGTAAGGTATTAATTCGTCCACTGAATCCTGTTACTGTAGGAGTTTGTGGGGAAGAGAAGCAGGACTTCAGTTTTGTACAATATTCAGAAGAATTATGGCTGCTTCCTCATGTGTTGCCAAGGGCTGTTGTGTCCCAGAGATGCAGAGTTGTTGTATCACAAACAGTAGCATTTTATCACATAAGGATGGGCAAAACCCAGCACAGAGAGTACTCTAGCCAGCAACCACCAGCAATTCTGATCTCCAGCTCTTAGTACCTGCTGAGGACCTCAGTATTTGACGTTGTGGGTTTAAACCAGGTTATCTTATGATGCGTGGACTTATTCCTTCCTTTTTTTCTCCCCCAGGCTCTGAAGTCTTAGCCAGACTTCGATAAAGCAGCAGGACAGTAAATGCTGCGCTGTGTAGTGATCTGAATAGGTGGTACTTCTGTTAGGTAATCCATGGTAAAGGGGTTGTTGGTGCACTGTGCATTAGCACAGGTCTACTAGCACAGTAAACCAAATCCTGCAAATGTACTTGGTGATCTAGGACTGATCCACATCAAATCTCTCAAACCTTGACTTTTCATTATTTAACCTTTTTTCTGAGCTTACCCTTGGTGACTCCTTATTTTCTCCTTTGCTATTTGACCTGCATTCTCACACGCTGAGTAAACCTGTCCTAAGCATTCACTTCAGAGCACTCTTGAATGTGCTGCTCAGCTTGAAATCAGTTGAAATTGGTCTGTTTAGTGGCTGCAAAGAGCACAAATTATAATAATACTGATAATGTTATCTAAATGCCTTTGCAGTTTTTGAAAGTTACTGGGTTGTTGCTTTTCTTTAGATGCTTTACCCCTTTTCTAATGAATCTGCAGTGACTTTGTGGAGCTCCTTTTTAGAGAACAAAAAAATGAGTATTTTTGAAAATTGAATTCTTACACTTGGCCTTTGAACCACTTAGTCAGATGCAGACAGTGGAATCTGGCACCAAGGATAATCTTCTCCTGATATGGATATGGGGGGAATGGCAATGAGGGAGGAATGCAGCAATAGCTTAATAGTTAACTGTTTGAGGGCTGACAGAAACTACAGTGAGGTACAGAAGAATCTTTCCTGGTTACTCAGATGGATAAAGTCTCTAACAAATAGAACAAACTGCTCAATAAGACTATGAATTTCTGCTGCCATCAGGATTTGCGTGAGAAGATTGAAAAGCATAAACTTAAAGCATAATATGAGATATCAGCAGACCAAGAACAAAAACCCTTATCATGGTTTGGCAGCTTTCCTTCTTAGCTACTAAAAGCTAAGAAGGAGCTGAAAAGATTGGAATTAGGAGGCTTTTCTCACAACAGCTATTAAAAAATTAAAGATTGGATTAAAACTTGATTCTTTCTGATCCCCTTTCAATAACTGAAAAGTCCTTAGTACAGTAAATACAGTTATGTGATTCTTGAACCTGTTGAAAAAAAGGGAAATGCTAAAAGCAAAGAATGTGAGGAGGTTTTATTCAATGATACCATTAGAGTAGCATCATTTTACAATAGTATTTTATTTGTCTTCTATTAAAGAAGATATTTGTGAAATAAATAATACATCTAATAAAATGTATTTGTCTTAATATTTAAACATTTAAGATGATAGGTACTTTGCTCCTGTTTGTAATCTGGACCTAAACCATAAGATCTAGGAGTCATACAAATGACACCTTCTGTCAGTCTTGCAGCTAGATCTGATACTCAAGCTTCTGTAGACTACTTATTTTAGCTGTGTTACCTTGGAACTCAGTTGGCACTTTCGCACCTCCTGAATAGCTGCTCATAGAAAAGCACACAGGTTACTTTTCGGAAAATCTTCTGGAAAGATAAGTCATAAGATGTTTGGTTTAGTTAATGAGCCTTGTAACTGCCTGAGAAATGGTAAATTGGACTGCAGAGTGGTCGCACACTAGCACATCTCTCCCCTTATGTGCAAATGGTACTGTAAAGGGTGAGTCAGTCCACAAAAGCCCTTCCTGAAATAATTCCCACTGCAGAATTAGAGCCTGTGGAGTTTTAGGCAACATATCCTGGACACTGCGGGTGTCCAGATAAAACGGGTGAAGTGTAACTCTGTTGCCCTTCTTTTTAGCCCAGCATATCGCAGTGTCTTCCTTGGAGGAACACAGGATGTATTCTTGTTTACCAAGTCTGACTGACCTCTGGACTACCCTTCCTTTTAGCTATTTTCTGTTAGTTCCATGTGACATCTCATCCCTTGTGGGATTTTTTTTTTTTGGAAAGTGAAATTTAAAAACTTTTAATTGTAACTATTCAGAAATCTTTGTCCTTTTTTTTGGTTGTTTTTAACAAATGGGAAGCTTGTCATGATTCTTGCGTGGAATGGAATTGCGTAAGAACACAGTGATTGTTGTAAGGCAGAACACTGCATTCTTAATAGTTAATTAATAATAATTATTACTAACATGAAGCTGCACTGCACATTTTGTTCTGGGTTTGTGACACCAAAACAGTGCTTATTCTGTATTTGCAAATAACCTGACACATACACACTGTCTCTTATACCCCCAAACTGAGCAATTATCAAGGAAATGAAACAAGAAAGTCCTACTGTTTTCCCAAAGGATTAAGAAACTGAAAAGAAAGCAGTCTTATGCAGTTATTAAGTGTTCTCCCCCCCGCATTCATGTGTCTGCGAAGAATTTAGCTCATGAACTTTGAGAATATGGTAGTGTTGATGTGTTGGCTCACTCAAAGCTTATAAAATTCTCCAAGAAAAAGAGGCCAAGTTTATATTTAACAAGCTTTATCAAACCATTGAAGTTAAGTGAAAAGCACACTGATATGCTATATAAAGTACACAGAAACGGCTTGGAAAGCTTGCAGAAAATAATTGAGCCAAATACTCTCTCCCACGATCGCCACTCAACATATTAGTTATTGCAGCAAAAAAGAAGTGTGCACATGAGTTGTATTTAGAGTCCTGCATCTCTCATGGTAATTCTTGTTTCGTATCGAGCGCACATTCCTTTAATTGGGTCCGAGCACTGAAATGAGTGCTTTAAAGCTTTGCAACACATTCTTCTAGAAGTTCATAACAACAGTGTTTGGGGAGGAATTTAGGGAAAAGTTTTGAAGAAATATTTTTTGTGGAGCTTTAATTATAGGCAAATGTATCAGCTTTCATTTGGAGAATGCTGGTGTGTGTGCATGGATGTATAAAATAGCAGTGTATTAGAAATGAAGATAGTGTTTGTGCATGAAGGTACTGCACACGTGTAAGGTTTCTTCATGTTGATTTCAAAATTCTAATCCTTTAAGCAAAAACAAAACCAAATCACATTAAACAAAGCAGCAAAAATACTATTGCAAACAATTAACAGGCCGTTACTACCCAAGCCAGCCTGAAGTCCTTGAGGCTGTGTGAGCATCAATATCCTAGACTGCAAACAGACATAATCCAAAATCCACAAAGGATTAAAAAAGGAGATGTACTGATTCTTAAAATTACTATAATATTAAGGTGTTAATCGGTTTCCTACAGACTTCAAGCATTTTATTTATTTAATTATACAAAATTTCCATCCAAGCTCTGTAGCCTGTAGTATTACTTTTAAAATACATTAGCATTTAGCCAACCTTTTTATCAGGCTGCTTATTTTGTCCTAATTCCAGAAAGCAAGAAGGTCCTCAAGTCTTATTTTTTGCTTTCCTCTGTCTCCTACCTGTAGAAGAGCTCTTGCAGTGGTGGTATTTCATGTTCTCCTGGTGCAAAAGAAGTTCCTTCTTACCTTTGATTTGATTTCCTGAAAACAAGTCTTTTATTTCAGCTTGGAATTGTAAATCATCTCAATTCTTGTTCTCACTTGCCTAAGGAGCCTATAAAGACATGAAGAGACTTAGTTTAGCAATGCAAATGGAAAATGTGTCAAGTTTTTAATATATATGTCACTTACAAATACTCTAGGTGCCAGAGGTGTTCGTAACATCTAAGGACATGCCTGAATTACTACGGTTGTTAATTATGCACTAGACCTGCCTCTAAAAGAGGAATTTCCAAGACAGCTCTATCCAGTGCTATCTGTTTGTCTCTAGTTGACAGCTGTCCATCAGGCATGATATCAGTTTGTTGTTTCTGGAGACGTAGCCTGATACAGGGTCTTCAGAAGTAAGTGGAAGTCTTTGCAATCATCTGACTTTGGCAGCCATTGTTCCCAGAAAGACCTCTTAAATTTCAGGCTGTCCTGGCTGCTGAATGCTGGGCTTGTTAACCATGGAGAGGTTCCTTCTCCTAGAAGCTTGAGAACAGCAGCTGAAGAGGCTGTGCTGGAAAGCACAAAGAATGATTACAGTTGAATTCCAGCTTCCACTACAGCCCCTCCTCCTCAGCTCTCAGTGCAATCCTGACCAGGATTTAGGGAGCTCTAATTCTTTGCAGCTAGATGGGTGTACCTTCAGCGGTGTACATGTGGGCCCCTCTAAGTACAAGCCTTTTGTTGAGATTCTCCTGTAAACATCTGTGGAAGGTGAGTGGATCAGAAGTTTGAATAAGGCCTTTAGTATGGCTTTATTTTATTGAGAAATCACTATATTTAAAAGAGCATTTGCAGAGGAATAGTGTGCTTCAAGGTCAAAAAGCTTTTTCCTTTCTTCTTCTTTTTTCCCCCGTTAAAAAGCAGCTCTCATTTGAAGAGCCTTTAGCCGGTTTGGAATCACCTTTAACAGTGCCAAGGTAAATGTTAGAATGTATATCATAAATCACATAGGCAGAAAGTTTATGAATCTTCATGTCAGATATAATTAAATATATTGAATTCTCCATGAGAAGCACAATGCCCAGAGCTGCTCTGCTGTTTTTTATTGAAGATAAGGCAGTAGGTTACTAACGTCCTTTATTTCATTCATTTCTGAAAACCTACTTTTCTCACAGTTCCACGCCAGCCTGGAGTGAGCAATAATCTGTTTGAAATACTTGAAATTGAAAGAGGGATTACTGCCGATGAATTTGAAGCAAACGATGACCCAGGTAAAGATCATGTCTTGTGTTCAGGGCCTAGGGTTTAGGATTTGTTGAGGTTTCTTGGGGTTTTGTATGATTTTACAGGACTCCTGCGTCTTATGCCACCTGTTTAAACTATACTTTAATAAAAAGAAAAAACCCACCACGTACATGAACCTTTGTAGTTTTATTTCCTAACAGATTTAGCACAAAAATAGTGTGAATTGTTAATAACAACACTAACATCCTTTTTATTGTTTTAATTTTATTTCTGCTGCATTTAATTTTCATTGCTGGTGTCAACCACAAGTGAAATTGCTGTAGTTCCCCAAGCAAAACAGTCCAAATCGTTGTGTTTTGGGGATTTTTAGGGTGTTTTTGACTCATTTCTCTGTTGTGCCTAGGTGTGCTGATACACAGCTGTAATTTTGACAGCGGACTGTGTGGATGGATCAGGGATAAAGAGGATGATTTGCACTGGGAGCCAGTGAGAGATGCGTCAGGTAAGGTATCTTTGTACAATCACATCCTGTAGTAAAGAACCACCTAGGCTTGGGCTGATGACAACTCTCGCATTATGATGAGTTCACACAGCTTCTGTTCCCTTTAATTCTAGGACATATTTCACACTCCCACCTCTTCTGTATGTGAAAATCGGAACTGAGGATTCCCAACATGAAAGAGCAATTGAGAATTTACACTTTTATCATACCTGGTATCTTCACAACAGAAATGCCTCTGAAGGAATAGAAAATATATTCAGTAAGAGGTTATCTGTCTTAAAAGAATCAAAAAGAACAAAAATGTGGACTAGAGAACAACTTTTATTTACGGTGAAACAAAGCTTATTTTTCAAACCACCACGCAAACAGAATTATTTCCGTATTACTAACAAAATCCCAGAATGTGCTGGGAATAGTCTTTGTTCTGCTGCCAAATATAATGTTCTACTTTAACCTCTCAGTTTGATTTTATTGAATTTTACTCCAAGTTACAACAACATGTATATAGGAAAACTGTTGAGTAACTGGAATGAAGACAAGTTAGGTGCTAACACGCAGAGACTGGGTATGTTTGGGATGGTAAAAAGGGACCTTGTAATGAATATCAGAGGGAGTGCATACTTGCCACTTGCAGTATAGGTGAAGCCAAAGCAGCAACCACTTGTAATCACTCACCTCTGCCACTGTGGCTGAGCAGAACTGCACACTTGTGCTGCTGGAAGCTGGTTGTACTTTGTCCCCTGCTGATTTTACTGTATGGCACTGAGAAGTTGGTTGTCCCTGCCTGTGAACCCTCCCCCCAGCAGAGCTTGCCCCATAGTGCTGGGGATTAGACACACATCTCTGGCTCCCCATAATGATGGGATTACTTCATACCCAGAAGAGCAGCCTTTGAAGTGCACAATGCTTACATTATGCGAGGGGATGGTGGACTTCGGAAGGAAACATGCTCTCAGGCGGTAAAACGTTACAGGTTAAGTTGAGGGAGGGTGAGGGCACTGAGAGCCATTTCCTTACGCAGCACCTCATCACAGATGTCTGCCTTACAGTGCCCTTGATGGCAGTCATTTGCCACCGCAGCAGGTGACCTGGCACCTTTTCCAGGCTGTTTAGCTGGCTAAGTGGGAGTGCTGTCTTCACTGACTGGGCAGGCCCCTGCCCCATCACAGGCATGCTCTAGTGTCTCCTGTGCTGCTTACAACACTTATAAAGTCTCAGAAATGGCTCAGAGAGCAGAGCTCCTTCCTCCTGCAGATGAGAGAACAGGCAGCTGTCTCCTGCGTGCAGGCTGGCATTTGTAAAGATCACACGTAATCCAAACATCTTCTTGGTAAATGGATTTAAAACCACTTTGAGAAGGTCACTCAAAGCATATACATTACCTGTGCTCAAAAGTTGCTGCTAATACAGTTCCAGAAGTATGATTTTTAACTGGCTTTTTTTTAGCCTTTTTTTTTTTTTCCCCTCCTGCGCTGCTTCCCAGCCAGGGACAATCCCAGCTTTTTGTTTCCTGTGTATGTTCTGCTGCTGTTGACATAACCTGTTAAAACTAGTCCCTTGAAGTCACCCACCCACACCCTCCTGTCTGCAATACCTTGTTGCAAGGATTTATTTTCACAGCTTGTTCCTGAGTGTTTGCTTTCACCTTTCAAAGTTTGCTATTTATTGGTTTATCAGAATGCATTTTGAAAGGTGCCATGCTGAATGAAGCCTTACAAGCTTATCTTGCATGCAGAAAATGCTGATGTGAGGGGACCTTTTCCTGCAGGCGTATGTTGGCTTTGTGCTTACCTAAATCTGTTTCCCATTGATTGGGTTTGGTCACTGTAACTATCTGAAACAGATGCAGTTAATGAGTTAAGGCAGTAGTTTTGTAGTGATAGAATTGTATCTACAACAAACAGGTGCAGTTATTTAAACTCTATTATGCTTATTTTAGCAGTTAGTGACCTTGAGGCAAAACCAATGCATTAAAAATACCCACAAAAAACAACCCACCACCAAAAACTGTAACAGCTCCTTGGGCAAATGGATCCCATTTCATGCCCAAATACAGATCTGGGGGCTCAGACAGCACTATAATACTTTGCTTTATTAAATCTCACAAAGACTGAAGAACTTAAAACCCTATGTAGTAGTAGGGAATTGGAGACAAGGTTGGCTGTCCTTTTCAGTGTGCAACAAGCCCTTGGTTCAGTGTCATTAAATCACACCTGAGGTGTGAGGTGGCTTTCAAAAAGAAGTTTTCAAAACCATAAAGCTCTGGTTGAGTAGTAGCAGGGTGACAATTTAAATGAAAAATATTTTTCTATCCTATAATTAAGACTGTGGATAGCAACCCTATTACAACCCCCCAGGATTTCTATGTCATTAGTTTCAACTAAGGAGCCTAACTGCAAACTTTAACTTAAGTTCATTAACCTTAGGTTTGTTGGATGCTGCCATTCCTAGGATCTTCTAATTTTCATGTTCATGTTCTAGGTGTTTTTATGAAGGCATCTTTATTTCATAGATGATCAGAGATAATAATATAGTTTTGAATAAGTATGGATGTTCCGTGACAAGTTACTGTTAGAGAAGACTTCAGGGAGTGTATCAAGTTAACAGCCATTTGGAAATCAATGTTATTTCTATCTTTCTGTACGTAATCCAGATTAGGAGTTTAAATTATGGTTAAACAAAAAAGCTATCTGTGTTTGCAAATGGATATGCTTTGCGACTTAACTTGTTAATACGGTTCCCAAAAAAAGGGACAGAACCATAGCTCAATTACATGGTATCCTTTATGCTGGCTGCCTCATTCATCTATCCCGTAGCAAAAAACTGCAGTTTACAAGGTGCGTAAAAGTTCACAGTAGCTTTAATGTCACTGTGGGTTTGAAACCATGCAGTCACCAAGTTGTTGTCAGAAATGAAGTTTCCATTTTCAAAAGAGGTTTTACTTGCTTTGCAAAACAGAAATTAGATTGGCAAGACCTAACCTGATACTAATGTAAACAGAGGAGCAGCTCTGTAAAACCCTTACCCTACAGAAGGCAGGTGCATCACTTCTGGTTCGTGTTCCAGAAACTCTCTGCCTGTTTAAGGCTCACTGGACCTTGTGGAGCCCTTTTTCACTGTTTTGCTTTTTTTACTGACTCTTGTGCATTTGGTCCTGCAACACAGTAGAATTAAAACCCTCCACTCACCACAGCTAACTGCTTTTTCTTTTGCAGGGGGGCAGTACCTTACCATCTCTGACCCCAAAGGCAAAGAAGGGAGAGTAGCGCGTCTTATCCTGCCATTGGGCCACATGGCTCAGACCAGCGACTTGTGCCTGTCGTTCCGGCATAAAGTGCCTGGGCTGCATTCTGGCACCCTCCAAGTCTTTGTAAGGAAAAACGGTGCTCACGGACCAGCTGTCTGGGGAAGGAATGGTGGCCATGGCTGGAGACAGACACACATAACTTTACGAGGACAAGGCATCAAGAGCGTGAGTACCAATGCAGGAGCTGCCTTTTGATTTTTTACGTGAGAAGCTGAAGACACTTAAGATGGGTGTAGCACTTGACTGTTTGTCTTCTGGATCCAATTTCAGCGTTTAATCCCTGCCAATGTAATCACATGAAGCATAAGAGAGTCGTGCATTTTTCAAATAAGCTTTATGCAGAAAAAAAATGTCCCACCTGTAGCAATAGATGCATGGGAAATGACAAATTATCTGTATTGATCTACCTCATGAAGTTGGTTTTAAGGTATTTGCCACGTAGGGAAGAGCAGTCTAAGGATAATGGCCTGGATTAATGCTCCTCATGAACAATGCTTTAAATAATGCAGCACCATGAAATAGGAAAAATCATCCCCTGTGGAGTTGTAACTGGCCAAACCAGGGCAAAGATACTGAAAATGTCAATTTTGATAATGCTGGGAGGTTATATGTGCAATCTCCCACAGTTTTTTGCTCTTCAGTATACCTGCAGCAATCAAATGAAGCTGTCTCTTGTGTGTGTCTTATATCATGGAGAATCTTATAATACATGGAAAGCTTAGAAACACTGGGCGATAAACCAATATCAAAACCTTAGCACTTTTCTTCAACCTCTGCTCAGTTTTGAAGGTAGTTTCTATTTCAGATCTGAAGAAGGGACTTGGGTGCTTCAGGACCTGGTTTGCTCTGACTTATATATGAGGTGCTCTAAAAAGCTCACATATCATAATGTTCACTGTAGGAGCAGGCTACAACACACACACACTATTTAGCTCCAGAATTTATATTAGGGCTGTAATTACCACAGATAATTTTCTAAAAACTTCACCTTAACAATAATTACAAAGAAACAGAAAAAACAGACAAAATTCTAAGCAAAATGAATGGGCTTTTGTGAGTCAGTTCTGATTGCCTGGGCTTCCTTGCTGTTGAGACTTATCTTGACCAAAGCTACTTTCATTTTAATTTATTTTTGCATTCAAATCATTCTATTTCTCTTCCCAGGTTATCTTCAAAGGGGAGAAAGGGGAAGGAAGAATTGGGGATATTGGACTAGATGATGTGGTCTTGAGGAGAGGACGCTGCTCTGAAGATCATTAGCAAAGACAATGGACCAGTAGTCGTTCTCCTCTAGCCCTTCTTGTGCTATTCCTACCAGGCTTTGAAACAGAACTGCATGAAAGAGAAGAAAAAGTTGAAGAGTTGACAATTTCACAGTGGTCTGCCAAGTGCAGTCTCACTGAAAAACATGGAGAAGCATCTCCCAGGATTCAGGAACTCCATTCCCATCTGGTTGTTTCTATTAATCCTTACCCCTAAATCATATTTTATATGTAATAACTTCATCACCTGTTAAGCCTGGTGAGCGCTCATGCAAAGAGCACTTGTGAAAAAGGGAGAATTACAAATGGTGGTGAAAGAAAGCTCCTGCTCAGCAAGTTTTAGTGTTAACTGATAGTCTTTATCTTCCCACAGTGCTGCTCTTTCATTGATTAGATTTGGCACAGTGGGATTGATCTAGCTTCGGAGTTACCTCAGATTAATGGGGGCCTGGACCTGAACTTTGGCTTACTGCCACCGACCTTTGAAGAAGGGTTTGCTTCATATTTAATAGCATATATTTTGGTGTTGCATCGGTATTAACAAGAACCGGTTATAGAGAGTAGGCTCTGCGTCCTGTAATATTGCTACTGCTGTGTTTTGTGTATATGTGTATGGTCAAAACATATTTATGGTTTTAATATTTACAGACTCTAGTTGCAAGGTAATTGGCAGCTGTGCTTTCTTATTGTACAAGACGGGAGTTCAGCATGTTCTTTGATCCCACTGGTCATGCCAATAGTTACGTTACCAAAGTCAGTTAATGGTGCTCATTGAAAAACGCTGGTGCAGTTTTTCATGTAATATGCTGAAGGCAAAAAGACCAAACCCTTAGGTGTAAACCAGCATCTGATTAATGCTGTACAGGTTTGCATATAGCTCAGGAGCAAGTCCCAAAGGGCTCTCAAGCCTGCAAGAAACTCCTGGTTCAGTTGAAAACTGAGCAGCCTGGAGAAGATAATGTGCTGCGGCTTATAAGTCCTCGCCTGTTGACCCCACCAGAAATGTTCCCTTTCCACAGGTGACACAAGCCAAAAGGGCAGCCACATTAACAAACACTCTGTGAACGATTCAGACCATGAAATGCCTTCAGTGATCTTTGTTAAACATCCATATTCCACCCAACCCTTCTGTACATAATAAATACTTTAGAACTAGAATAGTTATTAGACCTAGCTGGGACTAAATATTTACCAGAACTTTGGACTAATTTTTTAGTTATGTATCATGCATGTGGTGTGCAGTTTCCCAGGGTATTCCGCTGTTTGGTTTGGGATATTTTTAAATGAGGATCATCACTGTCAATCATTGCTGCTAACAATCGAAATTTGACAAAGTAATTGTAACATTGAAGAAAATGACAAAAGATTGATAAAATGTTGTTTAGTGGTGTAGCCTTAAAGCTTCAGACCTAGGTGATCTTAAGGTCCTTCCCAACCCTAACTATTCTGTGATTCATAATGTATATATAGAAGGAATGAGTCTCAAATCTTTTAAATACTTAAATACTATATAAAGTAAATACCACTTTCATATCATGTTTTAAAATCATAATGAATAAATATTCATGTTAAGCCTTGCACAAAGTCCACAGAGACAAAACTGCAAGACTGTTAGAGGTTGTATTCCCAGCCCCTAAGCACTGTTCTGAAAGGAATACTGCAGTTTGTCCCCTAGGACAAAGCACGGTATGTACAGCAGAAGTTTCTTTGACCAAACAGCCTGCAACAGTGTACCAGCAAACATTTTGAAAAGGAAAAAAACAATACATCTGTAAACATTTTTGAACTGTTTTGCTTCAAATATGATTGATTGTGATCTTTTTCTTATGTTACTTTGTAATATGTCAGAAATATTTGTGAATAGTTGAAATACCTTGTTCTTATTATAAAGTAATCAGTAAAGGAGGCTGTTACTTGTTACTAATTGGCAATCTTGTTTTCATTTCTGGAGCAGAACTCTCGTTTTTACTGCAGTGGAATGAACCAACAGACGACAAGTAGCTCTTGTTACCAGATTTAAAAATAAAAGTGTATTTCACTGTTTTCACTGTAATACAACAAGAGCATTATATATAGTATTAGAAGTATTATCCAAGAGGAAGAATGACAAATTTCAACCTACCTTTTTTTTAGGAACAGTCTCACAAGTAATTTAAGAGCTTCTGCAATACAGATTTTCCATTTTAGAAGAAGCAGCAGCTATCATAGTTCCACACACTGCTCCACAAACTGTTCCATTCTTTGGCATCTATCACGCTTCACAGTTGGGTTTTCTAAATAGGTAATTATGCCAAAATAAATTCCTGCTTAAATACTTAGGCAAGCAGAAGAAATTACAGTAAATTAGCATGAAACTGCTTATGAAATGTACTGTATAGCCTCTTGCTAGCTTAGAATTTAATGTTTTTAATGACATGTTAAACTTTTATCCCCCCCCCCCCCCCCCCCCCCCAAAACCTTAAAATAGCATTCCTTCATAAGTTACAAGTACCATGACCAGCAGCAGTGTGTGCACTTACTGCATTTGCTGACATCAGTGTGAGTTCAATGGAAGGGACCAATACAAACTTTTGTTTCCACCAGAGCCGTGTCATTAAGTCTCCAGCGAGTACTTTCAATAGAGCCTGCTCATTCTGGAGAAAAGCTGCCCTAGGTTTCCTTCAATAAATAAATTGCATTGCACTTGGAGGCCAAAGCATTCGTTTTAACATAGTTGAAGACTGCAATAACCACCCTAATGAGAATCAGATTAATCATGAGAAGACAAGCCTAAGCAGAAGAATGTTCATGACGGCAGCCACAGCCATCCTACACTATCCCATGGAGAAAAGATGCAACAGCAGCAGCACCTGCCTCTAATGCAAGTGCCAGGCCTCTCTATACTCACCCCATTACAGGCTAAGCCTCCCTGAAAATGAGGCACAGTAACTGTCACAAAGACACTGCAAGCTATGCAACAAGATGCACTACAGCTGTCTATCTTCAGAGTTTAATTGTGACTGTGAGAGTCGCTCATTGTCAACCGAGGCCCAGTTAAATCCTATTCCATTTTAATTTATTTTGATCTATACCTCAAACACCAAATTGTCAAAGGTGTTCTGGTAGTTTAAATACTTTCTTCCTTGC